TTGGGAAAATAGGAAAAATAATTAAAAACGCATGATTGAAGCCCGTCGGCAGGCACAGCAGCCCAGCACTTGCACTTTCGGCACACTCAAACACACACTCACACACACCTTCGTGCTTTTAGTTGGTAAACAATTTGATTAGAACTTAATTTGATTGCTGGTCGAATTGAAGCAAATATATATGTATATATCTCTCGCACGTACCTCTGGGAGCGTCTGCTGCTGCGAATTATACGAATTATATGCCTCAATGTTCTTACTTTTGCGTATTGCACTTATCAACACGCACACTAAAGCACACCATTTTTACAATAATTTGCATTTATTTTTGCACCCACACACGGGCGAAGACGACACAGTTTCAGGCTCGCACTGGCTGTTTCACGGCTTCAAAAGAATTGGCATTGCTGCAATCTGGCTGTTGCGGTGTGTGGCGGATTAACAAATGTTTGTTTCACGCTGCGCACTATCAATAAAATAAAATAATAAAATGCAGTTACAGCCCGCAATTGTTAATGTTAAAAACTGCTACGAAAAAGCGGGTATTTCCGCTGGGCACACTTAAACCCTCACGACCAAAAGTCTGGCAACCCTAGACCTCTGTTCTTTCATTGGCTCTTTTTTCCGGATCTGGATGCTTTTTATGCTTCTGCTGTACGCTGCATTAATTATTTCCGAGCACAATTTTATTATAACAATAATAATAATAATAAATTTTAAAATTGTATTTTTTTGTATTGAATAGAATTTAATGAACTTTAAAGGCGATACGTTTGGTACTAGCATGTGCGAATAAGTTGAGTATATTTATTCATTAATTTTAGATTTAAATTTATTTGTAAGATCTGTAAAAAACGTAAGCATTTTTGAACTTTATGGTAATTAAAAAAATGTAGTGGCATATTTTAGTACGAATCTTTGAGGAAAGTGCAGCCATACTTTCGAGAAACAGATGATTTTTGCTTTGTAGTTGTTGCGAAACGAATTGGTGGTAGAACTCAATAGATTTTTGGTTGAAACTGGACAAATTTAACCGCGGGACACATCCGCTACACTCACAAAATCATCCGCCCAAGTTCAGGAATTTATAGAGCGCGGGCGCCACGTCAACCCAGAGTTCCATCGCTTGCCAGGAACTCAGAAACTCAATGTATTTTTCGTGTAGAAAATCGATTTTTGCCCTAACAGCGATTCTCAGCCGACGGTTGGCAGCAACAAAAACGCATTTTCGAGCGCATACGCCTAATTCTTCGCCCTTATTTCGCACAGCTCAAGTGGTGAGGTGAGATCCAGCATTTTAGTTGCAAGTCGATCGATCGGAACTCTGAGCAAGCCCAAAATGACCGTTGCCGAGGGCAGTTTGCAAAAGGCCGCAACGCGGAAGCCCCACACGCAGGAGCCAATTCTGAGGTAACATCTGAGATACGTAGCTTTCATGAGTCAGAGGTGATCTCACGGAGATGAGCTGTCGGTGTCGGTGGCTGGTATCTTTCGCAGGCTAAATAACATCGAGAAGTCGCAGCAGGACACACGTGATTACCGTGGACTGAAGTTGGAGAATGGTCTAAAGGTTTTGCTAATCAGCGATCCCAACACCGATGTCTCGGCGGCTGCCCTCTCCGTGCAAGTGGGGTGAGTGGGAGAGCTTTCTTTGGTAACCTTGTCGCGGCTCTCACATTAACACAATACAAACTGCAGCCACATGTCCGATCCCACAACTCTGCCTGGCCTGGCGCACTTCTGCGAGCACATGCTTTTCCTGGGCACCGAGAAGTATCCACACGAGAATGGCTACACCACATACCTGTCACAGAGCGGCGGAAGCAGCAATGCCGCCACCTATCCGTTGATGACCAAATACCATTTTCACGTGGCGCCGGATAAGTTGGACGGGGCTTTGGATCGGTTTGCCCAGTTCTTTATAGCGCCGCTGTTCACGCCAAGTGCTACTGAGCGTGAAATCAATGCAGTAAGCAAAGATTATAGATTTGTTTGCTCCTCACACCATTTTGACTTTGTATCGGCAGGTAAATTCAGAGCACGAGAAAAACCTGCCTAGCGACTTGTGGCGCATCAAGCAGGTGAGCCGCCATTTGGCCAAGCCGGACCATGCGTACAGCAAGTTTGGCAGTGGCAACAAGGCTACGCTCTCCGAAATACCCAAGTCCAAGAACATCGATGTGCGCGACGAGTTGCTTAAGTTCCACAAGAAGTGGTATTCGGCGAACATCATGTGTTTGGCGGTCATTGGGAAAGAGTCGCTGGACGAACTCGAGGGCATGGTATTGGAAAAGTTCTCCGAAATCGAGAACAAGAACGTCCAGGTGCCCGATTGGCCGCGGCATCCCTACTCCGATGATCGTTATGGCCAGAAAGTGAAAATTGTGCCTATTAAGGACCTTCGTTCCCTGACAATAAGCTTCACAACTGATGACCTAACGGAGTTCTACAAATCAGGCGTAAGTTGAAAATACCTTCCAAGGCGTTTTGAGAGATTAACCAAATTTATACCCCACAGCCGGACAACTATTTGACGCACCTCATCGGCCACGAGGGCAAGGGCAGTATCTTGTCAGAGCTGCGGCGACTGGGCTGGTGCAATGAGTAATATTTCTCGAGATTCCGTGTACACTATGGTTGCTAATCATCCCTATCCTTTGCAGCCTGATGGCCGGCCATCAGAATACACAGAATGGCTTTGGCTTCTTCGACATCGTGGTGGACTTGACGCAGGAGGGACTGGAGCATGTGGACGACATTGTAAAGATCATCTTTCAGTATCTAGGATTGCTGCGCCAGGAGGGTCCCAAGAAGTGGATCTTTGATGAGTGCGTAAAGCTAAACGAAATGAGATTCAGATTTAAGGAGAAAGAACAACCGGAAAGTTTGGTTACGCATGCGGTTTCCTCCATGCAAATATTCCCCTTGGAGGAGGTCCTTATTGCTCCCTATTTAAGCAATGAATGGCGGCCGGATCTGATCAAGAGTTTGCTGGACGAGCTGGTGCCTTCAAAAAGCCGCATTGTAATGGTGAGCCAGAGCTTCGAGCAGGAGTGCGACCAAGCGGAGCCCTACTACAAGACAAAGTATGGCTTGGAGCGTGTTAGCAAGGATACAATCCAGGTAAGTGTCAACTCAACCATATATTTTTACAGAAATGACAATGTATTTTATTAATTCACAGAGTTGGGAAAACTGTGAACTTAATGAGAACCTTAAGCTGGCACTGCCTAATAGCTTTATACCCACAAACTTTGACATAGCCGAGGTCCCCGGTGATGCACCCAAACACCCCACCATTATCTTGGATACACCCATTTTGCGGGTCTGGCACAAACAGGACAATCAGTTTAATAAGCCCAAGGCCTGCATGACATTCGACATGTCCAATCCGATCGCCTATCTGGATCCCCTCAACTGCAATTTGAACCACATGATGGTGATGTTGCTGAAGGACCAGCTCAACGAGTACTTGTACGACGCGGAACTGGCCAGCCTGAAGCTCAGCGTAGTGGGCAAGTCGTGCGGCATCGATGTAAGTCTCTGTAAAGCTATATAGATTACTATTAAATTGTCCTCACTTACAGTTCACCATTCGCGGGTTCAGTGACAAGCAGGTGGTCTTGCTGGAGAAGTTGTTGGATCATCTTTTTGACTTTTCCATCGACGAGAAGAGATTCGACATTCTGAAGGAGGAATATGTACGTTCACTGAAAAACTTTAAGGCTGAGCAACCATATCAGCATTCCATCTACTATTTAGCTTTGTTGTTAACTGAAAATGCCTGGGCGAATGTGGAGCTCTTGGACGCCATGGAACGTAAGCAACTATTGCTACTTATTACTTTTCTAGAACTTCTTTTTTAACGAGTTTCCTCTGTAGTTGTCACCTACGATCGAGTATTGAACTTTGCTAAGGAGTTCTTCCAGCGCCTGCACACGGAGTGCTTTATTTTCGGCAATGTGACCAAGCAGCAGGCCACGGATATTGCGGGACGAGTGAACACTCGCCTGGAGGCTACCAATGCATCTAAACTTCCCATTCTGGCACGTCAAATGCTGAAGAAGCGGGAATATAAGCTGCTGGCGGGTGAGTTTATTAGTCTATTATTTAAAATATTGCAAATTAATCCCTTTACCAATAATTTGTAGGAGACAGCTACTTATTCGAGAAGGAAAACGAGTTCCACAAGAGCTCCTGCACGCAACTCTATCTGCAATGCGGCGCACAAACGGATCACACAAACATAATGGTAAATCTGGTATCCCAGGTTCTCTCCGAGCCCTGCTACGATTGCCTGCGCACCAAGGAGCAGCTCGGATACATTGTCTTTAGCGGCGTGCGCAAGGTGAACGGAGCTAATGGCATTCGCATCATTGTCCAGTCGGCAAAGCATCCATCATTCATTGAGGATCGTATAGAGAACTTCTTGGAAACGTATCTGGTAATTACATATTCTTAAATTATTGTAATTATCATTTAATTTGTCAAACCCTGCAGCAAGTCATTGAGGATATGCCTCTAGACGAGTTTGAAAGGCACAAGGAAGCGCTGGCCGTTAAGAAGCTGGAAAAGCCCAAGACAATATTCCAGCAATTTAGCCAGTTTTATGGTGAAATAGCCATGCAGACGTATCACTTTGAGCGTGAAGAAGCTGAGGTGGCCATCCTTCGGCAAATTACAAAGGAGGATTTTGTGGAGTACTTTAAGGTAGGCGGAGATAAACCAAGTAGAACGATTACTGACCGACAACTCTTTTGGTTTTTAGAAATTCATCGCCAAGAATGGTAATGAGCGGCGCGTTCTGTCGGTTCATATTGTATCCCAGCAAACGGATGCGAATGCCACGACCGAGGCGGAGCCATTGGAGGTTACAAACATGGACCGACACAAGCCCATCAGCGATATTGTCAGCTTCAAGTCGTGCAAGGAGCTGTATCCCATCGCACTGCCTTTTCTAGACATTAAGGCCAAGGGAGCACGCAGCAAGCTGTGAAGATTAACTAACGAATTAGCACATGGTTTTGGTCTCTCATTTTAATTGCAAACGTTGTTCCGTCATATTCACAAATATAACAGAATCTGTATGAGGAGAGCGTCCTGTTTGATGTACGTGCTGCTGTCCAGGAGCACACTGTTTGGTATGGAGAAACCAGTGTCTAGTTTCGTCAGCTCCTGGGAACTAAGGTCCTGCGACCTTCGGTGGCTGTGGTTCTGATCCAGTATGGAAATCTTATGCTTCAGCAAAACATCCTCCGCCCACTTGAACTTCTGGAAAATGCCTCCCATTTCCAACATTATATTGTTGGCTTCCGGAGAAAACACACCGAAGCCCAGTTGCAGATTCAACAGTTCGCGATTCATGTGGTGGAAGGTGCACTTGAGTTGCAGAGATTTCCCTGAGATTGCAGAGCAAGTAAGGAGTTAAGGAGGTAAATTTACCATTGCTTCTTAAATAAGAATTTATTACCACTTACCCTTAATGCTAAATATTGGACTTTTGACCGTCTCCAACTTGGGGCCATTGATACGCTGTGTAACGTTCTCCAACTTCCAATAGTAGGTAAAAAGCTTGACATTCTGATCGGCCAGCATGGTGTTGTTAAATTTATCGACCTCATCATCCCGAGCACCCAGATCCGAGTTGCCCTGTGTCTCCAAATCCTTCAGCATTGGCATCTTCTTAGTACCCAGATCGGTCGTGACTTCGTTCTCCTCTTCGGATGGAAAACTGCTGGGAGCTGGCTCTATTGGCCTAAAGAAAGTTAGTGGGGAGGGACTCGTGGTTGATGAGGTTCGCGGTGAATCAGGCACAGGGGTTGGAAGAGCTGTATTCACTTTTAAGCCACTCGACTTGGCCAAATGCACCAGTATAAGTTTCATGACACGAAGCTCCTCGTAGAGTTTGCTCTCCAGATTACGGAATGCCAGGTTCATTTCGTCTGTAATAAGGGAGTGTGGTAGGTTAATGAGGCCTAGGTTAGAGATCTCACTCACCTGATCCACACACGCCTTTTAAAGTCTTTGTAGTGACAGCCTCGGCGGAAGCCTTCACTTCGCCGGCAGTTACAGTGCACACAGCCTTTTGCACTTCGCTGGGTAGCTTTGGACTAACATCTTCTCCCTGATGACTGCTGGTTACGTTAGATAATTCTTTCTGAGGTTCCATCACCTGGGCAAGAGCCCCGGAAAGGATTACCACAAGGGCCAATATCCAACTGGCTGACCACCGATCCATAGAAGCTTGAAGTATCTCTATTTACTCACAAAATCCAAAAGATAGAACTTATGTTCGCAGTTAAGGTGTGTTTTTTATTGGAACAACCAAACAGAACTGCGGATCGTGGCAGACAGAGTATTTGGGGAACACCACCACCTTGAGCCGCTTGTGGGAACGATGACAGATTGCTCGACGGCGCCGAGTCTTCTATTTTTTTTTGTGCGTGTGGAACTACTTTTAGAATGGGAGACCCTCCCACTAAACTCTAAAAATAGTGTCCACTTTTTGATGAAACATGAAATATGAATGAATGGAAGCACATATTCGCACACTGTTTATGTTCTTGTGTTTAACACCAATTTAATTTCTGCGATGTAAAGGAAATATGTATGTATTTAGTTTCTACTAATTTTTCGATCTTATAGCATAGTTTTCACTTCTTAAATTTCCTTTCCTTTGTTTTAATTACATTCTTGGATTTTAATTTTTGATTTAAGGAATTATATTTTGTAGGTTTATTAGGATTTCCTTTTAAAATTGAAAAAGAATTCCTTTAAGTTCCTATCCCATGGAAAAGAAGGATAGCCGAAAGGCCATTTCAACGATATTCTGGGGCACATCGGAGCGATGGCAGACGTAGACCTCCTTGGCAGGCGACTGGAAAAGGCGACCGACCACCACGAAACGACTGCTCCTTGAGGATTGAGCTTCCGCTTTCTGCTGCGACTGCACCTCTAGGGTCATGCCGTGCTCCTTGACCAGCGACACTGCCTGGCTGCTGCTTGCATGTCCATTGGCATTCGATGGAGCTCGCGAGGACTCTGTAAGTTGCCTTCGGTAGTGCTTTGACTTGGCCAAAACGGCGTGGATTATGTGGCAGGCCTGGCGAATCTCGGATAGGAACGTCGACGACGACCCAGTCTCGGAACTGTCATTGAATGGAGCAAAGAGGGAGCCGTTGGCTATGTCAATGTAGACGTAGTGCAGCACGGAATTCTTCCAACCGGCGGAAATTTTCACCGGCACCACGTTGTTAATCTCCTTCCACATGGACTCCGTCATTTGGCTTTGATTGTGGCTCTCGGCGCCCAGATTCAGTCCATAGTGCAGTGGATGCTGCACAGCGAAGTTCTCCCAGTCGGAGCCGCTATCGGAATCTTCGCCAGCGCCGTGAATGGGGGTCAAGCGACGCCGCGAGGAGTCATCTTCGCTGGGCGTCAGGCTGTGTATGGAGGATCCACCCAGAGAGGAGCACAGTTGTGCCTCTTCCTCGACAGACGAAGGACTTAGCACGGTTAGCTTCTGTTTAAGAAAGGACTCCAACCGGCTGTTATTGGGCTCTTTCTCCTGATCTCTGGTCTCTCCTGCTATGGGCTCCAGCACCTCGGGTCTCTTGTTCGAAATGGACCAGAACATGGCCAGCGATTCAATGCCGCATTGCACCAGGTGATCCAGCGTCTCCTGGATCTCTTCAATGTAGAACAGAGAAGGTCCGACCACCGCATCGGGCGCCATATCGGGAGCATCGAAGATCTTAAGGATAACGGCCAAACTCAGGTGATTTCGAGTGCAGATGGTAAGGAAGTAACGGCCTGTGGCGCTGGGCAAGACGATCTCCTCCCAGACGTATAGCTCCCGTACTCTGATACCCGGAGCTCCCAGTAGGTCAAAAATTCCCCGGCAGCGCAGGAAACCCTCCACACTAACCCTTACCTCGGGAGGCAGGAGGCTGGCCACCAGGAAGCTATCGTAGTACAATGCACTGCCGTAAATGAAGAACTCACGGTGTGTAGTCAGCGGCTCGTCGTTCCAGTTGCGATAGTCCATGGCCTCCATTTCGCTGAGAGCATCAAAAATCCGCAGTTGCGCCTCTTTGGGCAGTGGCAGGCTCCGTGACTGGCCCAGGAGCTCCTCAAAGCGTATGTGACCAGCCCGACATCTGGCCATCAGTCGCGTCCTCTGTATCCCGCAAAAGTGGCGCAGGAATTGCTTAAGGCTGGAGCTCGAAGCGGTGCCGCCCTCGGAACTAAAGCTATCCAGGAGCAAGCCCGGCAGGGAAAAGCGAATGTAGCCAATGAGCTCGTCCGACCGCAGGCTGCACTCCGCCGCACTGCACAGGGCTCCGGCATAGGCAAATAGAACCAAGAATCCATTCAGTCTGCGGTAGTTCACATGGTAGGGCACCTGCTCCACCAGGAGGCGAGAGCTCAGCGGGTGGGTGTGCAACTCGCTGAGCACGGCGTGCAGTGTAAGGAAGCTGCCTCGGGCTTTAAACAGGAAGTTGTCCGGTGTCTCAGGATAATAGTAGAGAGAGTCCTGTTGTTGCTCATGCTGATAGCACTCCGGCGGTAGCAGTAGCATGGCGAAGGGCAGGGACATATCCGGAGAAGTCTCAGCCTCCGGTAAAAGCATTTGCTCAAACTTCTCGGCGAAGGAGGCAAAGTTCTCCACCTTGCATATCTGCTGATCGTCCGGCATATTCTGGGCGTTAAAGGAAGGATCCGCCGGGGAAGCAGAGTTCCCAGAACCGCATGATTGGAATCCCAGACACACTTGCGTGGGCTCCACATACTGCTGCAGTAGCTCGTCCACATTGCTGGCATACAACTCGATGCCGTTCAGGGACCTAAACCAATCTCCACGCTTAATTCCGTGCTGCAGGGCACTGAGGTCATGCACGAACCCCTCGACCATCAGACACTCGGGCTGGTCGGGGAAGGGCACCACCCGGAAGCCCAGGATCGACTCCACGGCGGTGGAGCGGCGTCCGAAACGAAAGCGATCCGCGGCGGTGATTACCAGCTCCAGTTTCTTGGGATCGGGGGCGGCCGTCTTAAACTGTGAGAATCGAAACTCTTGCGTCTCCGCCTGGGAATCCAACTGACTGTGGCTGTGGGACTGGTTCTGGTTCTGGCTCTGATTCTGATTCTGACTCTGGCTGTTGCTGTGCTGCTGCTGTCGACGCGAAGACTTCTTTCCCAGGCGCAGCGATCGGCGCATGAACTCCACCCGTCGCTCCGCCGCCCCAGCCGCAGCCTTCTCTTGCTTCAGATACTCCACGTAGAAGAGACTCCCATCGGTGGCCACGTACTCCTCCCAGTTGGCCAAATCGCTGGCATCGCTGTAGGAGTTGCTCAGCGAGGAGTTGGAGCTGGAGAAGGGCTCCGAGGCAAGGCTACCCGGCGATTTGCGCATAATGCACACCACGGATATCGGGTCAGTCGTCAGGTAAAAATTTTAGGTTTCTTCTCCTCCGCTGCGGTCCGCTTCAGTTTAGCTCTGAGAGTCGACTAACAGCCAATATTGGCAGATCTCACTGACTGCGATCTCAGCACTCAAAACCAGTTTCTAATTGAGCTCGCAGCCCCACTCCACTCGAATTCCAAAGGGAAATAGAGTCCACACACTCTCTTTTCCACATCGTTCCCCTGCCATCGAGGGAAATTCAAGACTAAGCCACAGGTAAATCACTGAAGTGTAGAGTTCCAGCTGCCTTTGGGTATAGTCCTACTTTTAGGCCATTTTTAACCATTGAATTTATATTGTAAACAGTTCGGAGGTTTCAGGTATAACTTTTAATTATTGCTATATGTAATAGTAGTTTTGGTCAAGGACTTTCTTCTTAATCTTTGCCTTCCTTTAATCTATTAATACACCAACGCCTTGTGGCATTCTGACTTGACAAAAATTTGATTTATGCAATCTATATTCTATAAAGTCCAGGCACTTATATAGCTGAAGATAACAGACTATAAGATCCCGATTCTTCAATGGGAAGTTATCGACAAAAATAAAACAAACATGAGTAAATAAATATAATTGTTTGGGTTACGCCGACAACTTCCTATAGTACCAATAATTTATCAATAAATATTTTCACAGGCCATAAACTATTTTAATATCTCTCTGAGTTAATTGTGCATTTGGCCAGAACTGACTTATTGTTGGAGAGCTTTCACTATCGCTGATCAAGTGATAATCTAAGATTTGCCAAAGGTGTTTCTTATCAGGACTGGTCGCCGCTTCTATAAATCAACGCAAGTGCTTGGGAGAGCAGTTTTAGTTTAATTTATTTGCCGGCTAAGAATGACCAGAACCAGATAGGAATACAGAATATATCGTTAACGGTTGATCCAAAACCACCCATTGGAGTATCTGAGACTAATCACCATTTCGCGACGAGCCGATGATAATTATCCGATAAGGAGGCGTGCGTGGGCGCGAGGCGGGAAGCATTGTGCCACCGAAATGGCGATACGAGCCTATTGATAGCTGATAGTCCCGGTACCGCGATTGTTCCATTCAAAAGGAAGATATTATTGCCAAAATTGATAAGCCGTATCGCTAATATATATACACATGTCCCACAACTGCTACCAATTATTCTCTGCTGACCAACAGCCAGTCTTTTTCGAGAGCGTACAGCGAGTGCTTCGTTTCCTTGCGAATTCCCGGGACTCGGTGGTGGTGTGGATTCAAGTGGAGTGGCGGTGCCGCAAAAAATGTGCCAAAAATATCGGAATAACCAGAGAAACTGAAAGTCATGGGGATATCAGTCCAAAAATAATGAAAGTTATGGCCGAGCCTGGAGTATTTTTCTAGAACGAGATTAATAAGTTGCGATTATCTATCTATCTATCAGATTGTGAAATCCAACAAGTGTTTGGTCAAAAGTTAAAGCCACTGCGTAAAAAATAATGAAAATGTCGCCCAAATTCGTATTGGATGTCGCTCTTGTCGTAGTCGTCATTTTCGGAAATGCTACTTCATTAGAGGTCGATGGGATAATACCCAGTCCCAATGACGACTGCTCAACATCTGCCAGCGCGGAAGCCGATGATATTAGTCAAGAGAAAACTGATCTCAAATCCTTCATGCTAAAGTATGAATCGGATGACGGAAATAGCTGTCTTCTGGATGTTGTAAAAGACGAGGTGATATCATGGATATATCCCAATGGAACCCTTAAGGAGAGCACCAAGAAGTTCGGTAAACACTTGTACTTCATAAATGCATTAAGAAATCTACTAAATGTCTGAGTTGAGCGTGTCCATGTTGTTAGAACCAATCAAAGTGATATATATTTTCACGCTTCCGGCAATTTAAACCAACTGCTGATAAAAGCTTTTTGGTGTTAGCCTAAGCCACTAGAAGTATTAAGTATTATTGTACCTTGTTATCGGTAAAAGCTTAATATAGCGAATGTTACTTCTTTACTACGTGAATTGCAGATGAAAACTTTTACTATAAGATAGACTTATCTATGTTTAACAACATTATTATGTGATCTTATAGATATTACTTCAGGGTAGTACTAAATTATCATAGCTTAGAATACATACATATCCCTTACATTTTTATACCCTTGAAGGATATTTTGATGTTAGTAAGAGGCTTGTATTTTAAGCTTCGATTCCGATTCGATTCTATAATTAAATTGCAACTGCAAGAGTTTAAAAACTTCAGCTTCCCAAAGTTGGTTTTTGTGTTATTTTTTATTATGTTATTTATTTATTATTTTATTGTTCCATGCATTATGTCCGTTCTTAAAGGCAGCAAGCTGTATTTGGATTTGTCTCATGGTAACCTGAAGGAGGACACCGAGTTGCTGCTGGAAGTGAAGGCGGCCAGGAAATTTATGAGATGGAGGATAGAAGTCTTTTCGGCGGCTTTCAACACCTTGAATGCGGCACCCTTTAACACGCTCCACTCTATGAGGGACTCCCTGAAGTTTTTATCATTAAGGGGAAATAATTTCGCTGACTTAATCCCAGATGCCGAAGGTATTTCTAGATTCTTTACCCATATCCAGCTATAAGATGGCTCTCATATATTGTATATACATATGTATATTCTGATGACAGTTGTTCATTCACAATTTCAGCATTTGAGCGTTTCATAAATGAAACACGCTTGGAAGCAAGTAGCGCTACACTACACAAATGCGAGCTGTTCCTTGTCCATAATGCAACCGAACTATATGATCGGGAGTGCTATCTATACTTTCAAAACAACACCCACACAAACACAGCCACATCCAGCATTAACTATGCGGACTACATTCAGTTTTTGAAAGATCGGTATGATCTACTCGGGGAGTCATGTAAGAATACAGCCTAAACACACACTAAAAACACTTACATTTTCAGTTACACCACGGAAAACCTTATGTTATCTCATTTATTCATATTTTATTTGAAGTTTATGTTTTGTAAAATATGTGGCTATATTAATGGCATTACTAAACCTGACTTACTAGCTTTACTTAACCATATTTTATATATTTTAATAAAACTTATTCTCCCCTCCATAGCCCAATCAATTGCCTGGGCAAGCTTCCCAAGTCTACCTCGGCTCCTGGAGCTTGACATAAGCAACTGCAGCATCGAGTATGTGAGCAAGGAAGTCTTCCAGAACATGAGTAACCTTCGGCGACTATTTATGTCGGAAAACAAATTTGTGACCCTTAAGCACGATACCTTTACATACATCCAGAAAGTGCAATATCTGGACATTTCATTCACCAATGTCCTAACCTATACCTACCAACTGCAGCTGCCCACGCTGGAGATGGCCATGAGCCTGGTCTATGGACTAAAGATCCAGCAATTTGTGTTTAAGCTCCTGCCGGAACTGATTTACCTCGATCTTTCCCACTCGAAGATGACTCGGAACAGTGCGGTGGCCTTCGCCCATTTAGGTGAGAAGGTGAGGTTCCTCAGTCTGTGCTACACCGCTATTCCTATGGTGAGCAGTGCAATCTTTAAGAACACGGCTGTAGAGGGTCTAGATCTTTCTGGGAATCCCTATCTGTCGTACAACATTATAGACGACGCCTTTGATGGCATTGCCGAAACACTTAAGTACTTGTACTTCGAGCGCTCTAACCTGAAGGACTTGGAGTGGGCCAAGCCTCTGAAAAAGCTCCAGATTCTGGGCCTGGCGGGGAATAACATCAACGCCCTCACACCGGCCATGTTTGAACCCCTGGAATCGCTGGAGGTCCTGGATCTTAGTTCGAACCATGTGGGCAACTGGTACCGCAGTGCCTTCCACAACAACTCGGCTTTGAGAGTCCTGAACCTTCGGAGCAATACCATCAATATGCTCTCAGATGAAATGCTGAAGGATTTCGAGCGCCTGGATTACCTCAGCCTGGGAGACAACAACTTCATCTGTGACTGCCACCTGAGGGCCGTAGTGGAGGTTGCTGCCTCGAACAACAAGGATGCGGACTGCTCATACAGCCTTCTTAACTATAGCCAAAAGTCGGCACTGGGGAAGGATCTAATTGCGGCGTCTGAGTCACTTAATATCGATCGCAAGCTCTGGCAGAGGCGCTATATTCCCTGGCTGATGAAAAGCTACTCCAACATCAAGGACTACAATCGAGCGAATCACATTATCAGACTGCGCTTCTCCTCGGCGGACTACAAGCTATCCAAGTGCCAGCAACCGCAGCCATTTCAGATGGAAGAGGTGGACCCCGATCTCTCGCTAAAATTCCAGCTGCTCGACTACGAGGCCAGCGAGTATTGGTGCTTCAATAATACGGATCAGCTACAGGTGGACCAGCTGAACTGCCATATACGCGCCTTGACCGATCTAACAGAGGAGTTGCACCACATCAAGACCACGGTGATTGCCGTGGTGGGTAGTGTGGTGGCAGTGTGCATTCTGGGATTCATTATTTATCTAAAACGCTGGCACATTCACTACTACTACTCCTCGCTAAAGTCCGCCGCTTTGTTATCCAGCGCTTCCAAGGAGTCGGCGGAGAGCTTTAGCCATATTTCTCAGAGAGATCCCAGCGCCGTTTATGACATCTTCATAAGTTATTGCCAGAACGATCGTCCCTGGGTGCTCAATGAATTGCTGCCCAATGTGGAGGAAGCTGGGGATATATCCATATGTTTGCACGAACGTGATTTTCAGGTATGCTAAGAGAAACACCAAGCGACATCTTTCAACTTTTCATACCCATATTACCCATAGATTGGAGTGACTATCCTGGACAACATCATCTCATGCATGGACAGATCGTACTCCCTGATGCTGATAATCTCGTCGAAGTTTCTTCTGAGCCACTGGTGTCAGTTCGAAATGTATTTGGCGCAGCATCGGTAAGGCAGGCTTATTTAAACAAAAAAAGACCGCACTAATTTATTCCCTTACAGTATCTTTGAGGTTAGCAAAGAGCATTTGATCCTAGTCTTCCTAGAAGACATTCCCAGGAGCAAGCGTCCAAAAACTCTGCAGTATTTAATGGATGTGAAGACGTATATTAAATGGCCTGCTGGGAAGGGCGACGCCAGTCCCACTTCTGAGGAGCGAAAACTATTTTGGAAACGCTTGAGAAGATCCTTAGAAGTTCTGGGCATAAGTTCCAGAGAGGCCAAGGCTTAAGATTAGATTAGTGTACTTTAAGTTGCTTTAAAGAGTTCTAGTCAGTTTTTGCAAGTACCTGATAAAATGTATATAAATAACCCGTTTATTAAACAGTAATACGGATAAGTGTTGATACGTGAGACATATTAAAATAATATCTTCAGAGAAAAATACATCTTAATATTATTTAAATGGTTTTACTGTATATTTAAATGTAGCTAACTTCCAGAAGCCGAAGTTTGTTCGCCAAAGAACCATGGGTTTGTCTGCAATCGATCGTAACTAAGCCAAAAATACATTAATCTCAACTGTTTTGCCTTGTATTTGGCTACCATCATATTGGGCTTTAATATTTAAAAACATTTTAATGGTTTGCATTTTTAAGAATTATAATATTGTACCCTTTACTAAACTTTAAAAAGATCAGTCAAATATGTTCGTCCATGGCGATAAGGAAATTAATTTGAAAATAAATACTTAGCAATGGCTGATTCTAGACCTAGATGTTAACTATATAAATATACAGGATATAATTGTCATTGTTAAGACTTACCGATTATCCATTTGCCTCATTGCTTCCTTATTCCTTCTAGTGTATAGATATAGTCTTGGTGGGTTTAAATAATGAAGTGAGCTTCTTCCAGGTATTCCAGATGTGTAGCATTGGGCAGGTGATATTTTTGTAGTAGTCGAAGGAAGGGCACTCACTATCACTATAGATGTAAACACTGAGAAGGCCGCGAACAGAATGACGCCCGTGCAACGGCAGCGCCCTGTATTTATAGTCCCCGAGCAAGAGAAAGAGAGTGAGAGAAAGTAAGAGCGAGAGAAAGAGATAGGCAGAGAGGAATTTCCTCTGCTTAGGATAAACATTATTTTTAAATTTAACCGTTTTTCAAGCCCTCGATAGAACAAAGTTATATACATCGATGTTCTTGCCGGCTATCGATGATTTCGCCACAGCAGTAATCACCTGGGCTTAATCGATGGTCTTCCATCTCTACTGCCAGAGCCAAATAATCCTATCGATAGCCCCACATTTCCGCGCCAAAACAGCAAAACAATAACAGAATAAGTATTATTTTACGGCGGCACCATGGAATTTCATCTGAAGAAACGTCCCCGCCACGATGTTAAGGTCGAGGTTGTTAGCCTGGAAAGCAAATATCCGCATAATGTGATGCTGTACCACTATCCGCCTACCGACGATGTGCATATAGAAGAGTTTGAGGAGCTGGCTCTGGAACGCCTGCGACTGCTGCGTATTCTGGACCGTGCCTCTACCAAGAATCTTCGCCTGCTCTCCGACGAGTGGAAAGAGTACGTGAGTGCGGAACTGACCCGGGAGGGATTGCGCAGCTATCTGAGACTCTGCTCCGTCGGCGGCAGTGGTAGCAAGAACGAGTCGGACATTCAGACGCGGCGACGGGATTACCTGTCCCACTTCATTCTGAGGCTGGCCTACTGCCGATCCGAGGACCTGACACGCTGGTTCGTGGCCCGGGAAATGGAACTGTTTCGGTACAAATTTGCGGCTCTCAGCAGCTCCGAAGTGAAGCAGTTTTTGGAGTCGAACGGCTTTGAGATTCATCCACTGACCGAGGCACAGAAGGATGAGGTCAAGGATGGCCTGTACGAGAGCACGGCTGGACAGAGTGTTTCCAAGATCGAGCTGCTGGACTTCTACAAAGTGCCCTTTACCCAAGTGCTGGATCTGGTGCGAGGACGGCGGTGTTACTTGAAAGCGGGCTTCGCATATGTAAACACACTTGATTTGGTCTCCATAGTGGGAACCCGGCAGCAAGACGAGATCGAGCAAGGCCTGCAGGCTGCCAAGGGTCTGGTGGAGGAAGTCGAGGGCGATGAGCGCATCTCACGCATGCTGAAGGCGTTGCACAACTCTTACACCGGCAAGGACTACACTGTGTGCCGGGATGCAGCGATTCCCATTGAATCCCTAGACCAGCTATCCAAGACCTCCATGCCGCTATGTATGCGGATGTGTCACGAGTACATCCGCGCCCAACACCACGTCAAGCACGGTGGCCGCATGCAGTACGGCCTTTTCCTCAAGGGTATTGGGGTAACGCTGGAGGATTCACTGCGCTTCTGGCGCGAGGAGTTCACCAAGAAAATGGATGTGGACAAGTTTGCGCGAAGCTACGAGTACAACATCTACCACAACTACGGCAAGAAGGGTTCCATGGTTAACTATACGCCCTACTCCTGCGCCAAGATCATCAAGGAGATGGCAGCTCCCGGCGACTGCCACGGCTGTCCTTACAAGTCCATGGATCCGGGCTCCCTAAAAACGAAGCTGGCCTCTTACGGCCTCTCCGCAAGCGCCATCGATGAGGTCATGTTCTTCGTATCCCGCGGTCACTATCAAATCGGCTGCGGCAAGTACTTCCAGCTTACCCACAGCGCCAGCGTGGAACCGACCATAAACCATCCAAATCATTACTTTGAGGAGAGCCAGATTCTGATGGGAAACAGACAGAAGCGACAGACAAACGGACCCGCACCGCCAAAGGCGCGTGTGCGGCCGGATATCAAGGGCTATGCAGATCGCTCCATGCTGATGGGCGACGACGATGACGAGCTATGGCGCATTGCAGAGACACAGGAGCGCGCCATGCAGAGCCAAAAGGCTATATCGGAGGCATTTGATGATGACTTGGATCTAACCGAAATTGAATATTAAGTATAGTATAAAAAAAACTTAAATATATTATAAGTAAGAAAGGAAAGAAAGAGAAGTTATTTTAATACTGGCTTTTTCAGCATCCAAATAACTTTTACGACTGACAAAGGTAGCAAGTCCTGGATTTGGGATCGATTTTCTTATGAGAATTTCGACCAAAAGGTGGCCAGCCATTAACATCTACGTAGTACATTCCCCTAGCCTGCTGATTTATTCTATAGCCCATCGGGGAAACGATTCCGGCCAAGCAATTCCGCTCTCGCAACTTCTCCCAGGAAGCACATTTGGTACCCATGAAGTTCTTCTCTTGACTGGGATACGCACTTTCTGCAAAGTATTCCACCGCTCGGGTGTGCGAGCAGCCGATGGTCAGGCAACCCGGTTGGATAGGATGAGCTCCACCCGGATAGAAATCCACATCACCGAGCGGTCCACGTTTGGCCAAAATGCCAATGTTGGTGTGAATTATGTCAACCAATTTGGCATCACCACGCGTCAGCCCAGGAAGAACATTCTTCCGCCTGAAGCAGGGCTTGGCAGGATCCAGGCCGGTTATCCTAGGGATTAGCTTTCCTGTCAGCCGTTTGAAGGTGCGGCCAGCTGTGCCCATTATATGAGCTCCCAGGGAATGTCCTATTAATCTCATTTACAGTCTTTGGTCACAGCACAAGGGTCTTGAGCCCAACTCACCAATCAAGTGGATGTTCCGCAAGGGGGTTAGTTCTATCAAGTGGGTTAGACCCACCCCAATATGCTCGCCTATCACGTCCGTGTTGAGGGCCGACCAGGAGTAGAGGGTATCCACATAATCCGCTGCATCCACAATCTAAAACAGAGTATGTGATTAGATATGATTTCCATAAAGCCACAGAACATACCACAAAGTTTACATCACCCCTACACATGAAAGCTTTAGAGATCATGGCAATGGCGGAGGACTCATTGACTGTGTTGGTCCATCCAGTGGCCAGGATCACCACCTTTCGCCCCTTTGTAAACCTCGAGTGCCGCCAAAGCTTGGAGGCCTCCAGCAGGGGAACACTGTAGTTCTGGCATGGGGTCATATACTGAAAGTGCATTTTCCTGATATCCGGCGAGATTTGTTCCGGAACTCTGCCAATAAACAAGGTCGAGGAGCCTGGGAATATCATTAATATATGAGGAACCTCCAAGGATTTGTGCCCATTGGAAAGTTACTATCCTTACATAAAGCATCGAGTATATTGGCGGCGAGTTCGAGCGGAGCAGCCGTAAGGACGTTTACCTTCATCGTTATAACGTCAGTCAACAACCGAGGCAGTGACTCCCACCAACTTGCTGTTGATCTGCCGCTGTCCGCCGCATCATCAGTAGTGTTTCCAGCAGCTCCCAAGCGCGCGAGGATAAGGATCACCAGAAAATTCAGTATCCGCATACCGTTAATACGCCGCCCACCACTAAACAGATGTGTGGTCTGGTTTAATCTTTTGCTGGTTTTCGAATTTTCACTAGTTAATCGAGGGCTTTGTATACTGTGGCCTTATTATTTTCAAGCTTAACCCCAAATCCATTGTTTGCTTACCCACTTGGGGGTATCCATACTAAGTAAATGGCAGTGTTTCAGTTGATCATTAAGAATGTAGTGTTTAATCAGCCTAAATGCAAAAAATGTGGGCCAAGTTTAACGAACTGAGAAGGGGCCAGCTTTAAGTTTAGTTTGCTTTCTAACTTTATGTGAAAAGGTTAAATGGGTTTTTAATTAGTTTAGGTTATAAAACCACGCTCAAAAGAGCGAATTAAAAACGTTCATTTCCTGTTACGTAGACGTTCTTACAACATTACTTACATATTTATAAAACAATTTTATTAATCTTATTTATTATTTTAAATTCTAAAAAAAGGGTGGTAAGTGCCTACCTTGTCATCAGAAGAAATACCTCGTATGGCCTACAAAAATGGGATAAACCCATTTTAAGTCTAAACGCCTGCCATCTTCGATATATCTTCGTACTGAACGTTGTCTACAATTCGTCCTTTCAGGGGACCATGTAATATCTCAATGCTGACTGAAAACTTGCGCTCATCCAGTTTCCTCAGCAGAGCCTCGGACCCGCGATATGCACCATTGACAACCACAACAGGTTTGTCAAGAGCCGGAATTACAGTTTCCAAGTGTGCCTAGAAATATAACGGATCATGAGTTAACTTTGCGTTATAAACTCCTCTTGTTTAGACTAACCTGATCTACTTTCACCTTTTCCCCAGTCTCCAAAAACTTTACTTTGGCCTGATATTTGTCAATAACTTCCTGGACAACAGCTTTCTGCTTGAAAAACTTATCACCCATAGATTTGGAGATGAACTTCACCACGATGTTCTTGTGCAGCCAGTAGTCCTTGCGGTTGGCACGCTCCTTTTTCGCCTCCTCCTGCTTAATGATATCGTCCAACGCCGACCGCGTTTGACTGTCTCCCGCTATCGATTTGGGTTTCTTAAAAACCTTTTCATCAATATCAGAGGCGGGTCGTTTGGTGGTAAGAGCAGATTTGCCCAGCACGGTGTCCGGCTGGAACTTCTTCTCCAGCCGGATGTCCAGCTTCAAAGGTTCGTTCTCCTCCCGTTTAAGTTCGGTGAACTTATCTTTTTCGTCCTCATCCTCGCCCTCCTTGGCTTTTGCCTTTTTGATTTGCCTCTCAATGAAGTCGGCCATGCGTTCCTCATCGTCCTTTTCCATCTTCTCCTTGCCATCGGCCTTGGCCTGGCGCTCCATTGCCTCCGGACTGCGATCGATGTAGGTGACGAACCAACCTTTCTCCGTCTCGTCGGCCACCACCTGCCCTGTCCGTCCCAGCCATTTGACATAGTCCGAGAGCGTTAGCCACCGCGTGGCGTTCATGTGAATGTGCTCCTTGTGTGCGATGTACTCCTGGTAGATCTTGTTGGCGTTGGTCCGCTTGGTGCCGAATCGTCGGCGTAGCAACTCCATGTATCCATCAGAGAACTCTTTGCTGAAGCTATGCAGAAACTTGCCGGGAGAGTCCGCGAAGAGGAGCAGTTGCCGCTGATGGGACTCGCTCATCGTGTGGCACTTGAAGCCGTTCTCGTCGCGACACTGCTTCTCGCACATCTGGCAGTACCAACGCAGCTTCTGCAGACCCTTCGACTTCATTTTGTTGGCAAGGTACTTGGGAGTACCGACCTCGGCCCGGCCCATGGTTAAGCTTCTTTATTTTGCTGCTTTTCTAGAAAATTTCACAACAAACATGTATTGTTTTGATTGAAGTTGACTTTGGTGTGACCGTACAACGGCAACTGAAATAAAACCACAAGCTATCGGTCTCGATAACTAGTTTTTTTTCGATACTTTTGGCCTATCAGTGGGACCAGGCAAATGAAAAATACTATCAGAGCAAAGAATTTGAAATTTGAATTTAGTAGGGAATTTTTTTTTTTTTTTAATTAAATAAGACTCATTTATTAATGCAAAAAATACCGCATTTTATTATTAATATTATTTCAAGCAATAAAGTGTTTGCCAATTAAATGACAATATTCTCTCCCAAGCGTTCAATCTCATCCAAAATGAAATCTAGCTCTTCGCTTTTAAGAATGGGGAAGCATGTCATAACCATGCGAAAGAAATTGCCCAGATCGTGAGCCTTGAGAGGCGAGTAACCTATCATCAAAGTGCCGTTGTGGGTCATCTGCTCCTTGATCTTAGGAGCAACCTGATAGATTGACATGGAGATTATTAAGAGAGTAATATAGGTATAACGTTTTTTTAAAACATACATAAATTCTTAAACCTTACTATGCTAAAATTTGAAAAATACATTTTTCAAACTTACCGTGTATAGACGCTCCCACCATTCGGGAGTCTCCTCCTTCGAGGACACCCTCATTACCTTTGGTATGAACCAAAAGCAAACATTTGAGTACTCGTGCTTCTGGAGTACTAATCTGAAGCGATCACTGCGCTGACGAAGTTTATCCTCCAGTAACCTGGACATCTCGATGGCATGATCCACCAGGAGTCCGTACTTTCCATATCCGCGCGCTTTTAGCATCAGCCAGAACTTAAAGGCATCGATCTTTCTGCCGCACTGAACGCTCTTGTTGCCGGTGTCGTAGGAGACGTCGTAAAACTTGTCTTGCTGGAACAGATAGTGCGCCTCGGTGCTGTTACATCTCTCCAGCAGACGTCCAGATTCTCGTGTTAAAAATAGAGAGCACTGCATCGGAGCACCGAGGGTCTTATGCGGATTCCAGGCGAAGGAGTTGGCCCGTTCTAGGCCGCCGATTAGGGATCTGTTTTTATGGGACAACAGTGAAGCTCCACCCAGGCACGCGTCCACATGGAGCCACAATCCATGGCGCTCCGCCACATCGGCAGCTCCATTGATGTCATCAAATGCACCCAGCACTGTGGTTCCCGCGGTGCAGTTCACAAAGAAGGGCTGACCACCACGGGCTTTCGCCTCTAGGATCTTCGCCTCCAGATCATCCATTTGCATCTGACCGAGTCTGTTAGTTTTTACCGATACACAGTTGTCACTTCCCAATCCGAGCCAGTTGGCGGCCTTCATAAAACTATAGTGGGATTGATCCGACGTAAAGAGAACCAAGGGCTGCATCCCAAACATTCCAGAGGTTTTCACCTCGGGAGCGATCTTGTAGCGAGCCAGGACAATGCCATACATGTTGGAGGTGGAGCCACCAGGAGCGAAAATGCCATCTCCTTCCTTGTAGCCAGCCAGTTTGCAAATGGTCGAGATTATTTCGGTCTCAATCAGACTGAATACAGGTGCGATTTCATAGGTGTAGCTGTAGAGGAATAAGAGATTAAGGATATTATTAACAAATCATAAATATCCAAGTTAATTGAATATGAATTAGGGCATCTTCTAATTTAAGTTTAAAAAAATAAGTAAGGAAATACATAAGATGTGGATTTAGAGGGTTAAACATGACACTTTGGAATTTACACAGTATTAACACAGTTATCTGTGCTGTGAACTCATTCCTTGTCTGTAAAAGATGCAATCAGACGTCTGTCCGTCTGTCTAATAGACATGGCATATACGGAAAAGTGCTGCAGCATTGGGTCTGGTCTTACGAGCTTCCGTTCATGGCCTCGGTGATAACTGCTCCCGCCAATCCAAAGGGATCGAGTTGCCCGAAGAGCTGATTGTGGAATCGCCCGTGCGATGTTTTCACGGAGTAATGTATCACCTGCTGACACAGCGCCTCGATCTCGGCCAGCGTGCATTTCTCAGTCTCTCGGACTTTTAAATTAATCAGTTCCTACGAATAACAATAAAGAATCATTAAATCATTTATTAAAAAAGGGATCTTAAATCGATTAAAATAAAATGAAAGATTACTATAGATACAGATACTATATAAATACTATTTATGGATATGCAATTTCACAATATCTTAATATCTAAAAGAGATAACCTATGTATATTGTGTCTAAAAATCCAAGTCATTCAATTATCAGCTATGACATACGATGAATTGATAAATAATTATCACAAATTGACCAAAGTAAACTTAACAACATAAAAGTTGTACAAAATACATCTGGCTAAAGTTCTGATACCTTAAGGGTATAACATTATATGCTATCTTCTTGACTTTTCCAGATTAAGACAACACTCGTGCCTTATCAACTTTTACGACTATCAATTAATAAATTTGCCACACAAATTGTGTGTTAGTGAATAGTCTCAAAACTAAACCCTATTCAAATTAGTTTCAATTGAAGCTAAGGTTCAAGTGGCAAATTGACCTCTCCGGTGATAGTTCCTTATCTTCAAATCAGCAGACGCGTCGCCGGGTTGTCTTACCTTCAGCTTGTCTGGTTGCAAAAACGGAACTATCTTATGCTTATCCCATTGCTGCGGATCCGCACAAAAGGTGTCTTCCCTTTGGAGCAGCTTGAATACGTTCTCCAGGATATTCCAATCCTCCATGAGGCCATCGCGCACTTCATCAACAGCTGCTGCCATATCTGCTCCTCAGTTTCAGCTGCCACAAAAAAATAAAACCGATTATTTCGGAGCCAAACGAACCTCTGTCGCCGACGGTTCAGTTGGAAATGGTCGTCGCTTTACTGCAGCTGATTGTGCTTAACGTTCTCTCGATCAAAACCCCATTAAGTTGTAAACCATCGCACACACTCGGAAATTATTTATATACATATGAAGGGTGTGTAAATACTCATAAAGATTAACACTTGTGCTCTTTAGAGTGGACCTGCTTTTAATTAAATTTACAAGACAAGTCACGCAGCGTATTAGTATGTCTAACAACTTATTATATATGGGCTAGCTCTGGGGAATATATAAGTATAAAGACTTAAAAGAAATTATCTCCAGAATAAAATAAACAATGACCCTATTAAAAGTATTGATGGACTATAATTTCCCCTAATAATTTATTAAGTATTTGCCAGAAGTATCTATAGATTTACGACAGCGGAAAAGTTTAAGTCACAATAACAATCGTATATCACTTAACAAGTTGATTAGCAATTATTGGCGTGCTTGACACAAAGGAAACTTGGTCAAAGCAAACCATTTGAGATTTTTATGGCATATTTAATTAGCTTCGGTAACTTCTTTAAGTACTTACTTGTTTACTAGGTTAGAGAGGCTCGACTGTATATCAAATGATTCAACAAAGTAATGTACGCAGTACTCACTCAGAATCAAGTTTCAGGTTTCCCCAGATAGTATCTATTTGTATTTGTTGAATTCTTGAATGCAAATCGCCAATAGAACAAATGCAAATGCTTTTAAGCGTGGACGTACGTATGTTAGTCGTCGTTTTCGCTTACTATCACTTGTGGATCTAGCAAGACACTCTTGTTTCCAAGTGCGCCCGCAAATAGAAAGTGGCGAACGGCATTACCAAAAAGTACAGGCACAGTTTCCCTTTACTTTGAACCATCGCACTTTCATTTTTATGCTGGTGATGGTTACTACAATTAAATCCAATCTTTGCTGCCAGCATTAAATTTGCTAGAGGATTGAGCTAGAGATAAGCAGCAAGAAAGCCAAACTTAAGTACAAGCGTCTTTTCTTCAGCATTTTTACAGCTTATGTAGCAGGGAAAACCAATTGTAAATCCATTTTTCGTATTCCAAATCAAAAAGCAAAATGCTGGGTGTCTTGTTCAAGTAAAACGGTATCATTTTAATATGTTTTCCTCGATTTAACATTATCATATCGTTTTTTCGTTTTCTTGCATTCTGCATTAATTTAAATTTTTACTTTTCGCCAACAACGTTAAAATGGAAGAAGGTTTGTGTGTGTTTTTATCTCGTACTATTAAAATATTCTATTTGATTTTTCTGGTTTATGCTGTAGTTGGAGTTGAAGTTTTCACTTTGCGGTCCACTGACGACGTACAATTCAACTGAACACACACATTTTCTAGTAATCATCTAGGTCAAAGCCGTCGTTGTCCAGTTCATCGAGTTGCATACTCTGGAAGTCCACCTTGTAACGCAAGATACCTGCGAATCCATAATGGCATTAAACATTAGTTAACTGATTAGGAAGAAGGTGGGGAACGCAAAAGCAATTACCAAATAAATAATGTGAAAGAAAATGAAAATCAACTGAATAAACCGATACAACAAAAATCAACACCGTATGCTCACCTCCTTTGACGTTAAGCACTTGTTTTTAAATTAAAAACTAAAACCGTAATTTAGATAAAAGTAAGTTTCTCCAGCTTGTCGTTATGTGTGGTGTTTTATTTCTGGTTTAATTTTTATTACAATTTTATGGATTAGATTTCTTGTTGTATACTTTCTTATATAACACTCGGTTTTAAATTTTAATAGGGGAAATGCAGATACGATCAAAAATTGTTTCAGCTAACAGGGGCACGCACGTTCACCTTATGATCGTATGCCTCCTAAATGAATCAAAATCGAACAAGGTGAACATAGAGATTGCGCTAATATCTCTCTTATCATGACACTTGAATTACAAATTACAAATACGAAATAAGGAATACGAATTTAAGTTATTGCTTAAAAGTAATCTCGCGCACTCGGCTAATTTAAAAATTTGGTAAAACGTATAGGTACATATCTAGACAGACGCCCGATCCGATCCGAAGAAGAAATGCACCCACCACCTGGCTGATGAGGGACCCTATTTATTGGTGATAAATATTGTATTGAACGGCTACGCTGAACATAGGTAAAACTATGTGGCAAGTAAATTGGTTCCTAATCAATTTGAACGTTTTGCTTTACGAGGTTTCTCTTCCCAAAAAGTTATCTGGTTTGCTTATTTTGTATTTGAACGCGTCATATAATCGAGATCGCTGGCTTAGTAATCATCAAGATCGACGTCCTCCAGCGGCTCGTCGGCCTGCAGGGATTGGAAATCTACTTTATAGCGCAATATGCCTACACACACACACATTAAGGTACCAAGGTTATATTACATTTACAATACATCATAGCGTGGCGACCGTATTAAAGCAGCATGAGGGAAGAGGAATGAAAATAGTTGCAGCATTTTTTATAGAGTAATATCGAGCCACTACTAGTCAGGCCAGAAGAAAATCTGTGCCATGAGTGATTTGAGAGATTCCTTTAAACACTTACCGCCGATTCCACCGAAACCTCGCACAAACTGACTTCCCTCCTGCGACTTGTCCGTGATAATTTCCAGTGTGGCGCCGAACATTTTGTAGTTGTTTGCCAGCCATTCCAGCAGCGGCTGAGACTCAATCAGCTCCATCTCCACCCCGCTCTTTAAAAGAATAAATTCATCTGTATAATCAAAATATTGGGACTGATGAGTCCTCCTTACCTCCTTGTCAGTGAAGTGCGACTTGTCCTTTTCCTGCTCAGGCGTCAAATGTAATACTGTCGTTGACGTCGAGTTGGCATGATTCTTGAGAACGTATCGTTGAATGTCCAGGTTTTCCCAGCAAATGAGAGTCTCAACAGAGCCAAGTTCCAGCGCTCTCAAGGTATCTTCGACTCCAAAACAGTATTTGCCTGTGTCCTGTTGAAAAGTTAATGATTTAATAAAATCATTTCCAGCTTCAGCTCCTTCATTTCAACGCACCTGAGAAATTTCATCAAAGTAACGACCGATAAGCTTCTTTTCCTGTATGAACTTCACATTCTGCAAAGATTCGGCTGCCAATTCAATGGCCTGGTTGAAGCCGTTCTCGCCGCCATAAGACACGTCCACCAACTTGATTACTTTCGATTGCAACCGCTGCAGAACACAACAAACCATTGAGCTATAGATATTCTTCACCCAACATCACAAAGAATAAGCCAACTACTTACAGGATCGAACATATCAGACTGGCTGAGCTCCGTCTTGAAGTCCGCACTACCGGCAAGGATGAGTCCTGCAATGTTAGGCTTATCGTTCGTAATGAAGAGCTGGGTGGCGACCTCGGCAACTTTGCGCACGTAGTTGTGACGCTTTTCCATACGCAGACGGGCAAAACGAAGGGCGGACTGACCACCACGTCCGTGCTTCTTCGGCAGATCGACAGTGAACTTGTGCAGCACCTCTCGGGTGTTGCCCTGAAGGGTACCGAATAACGCTCCATTACCGTCCATCACAATGAATCCGAATTTGTTGTCGTCGGCGAGCAGGGCAGTGAGGGCCTCCGTGTGGAACTTGTTGTCGCACAGGTACAGCGACGTGTTGATGGGCTTGAATGGCTCAAAGTCTATGTTCACCTTCTTCTCCTTGCCCTCCTCTGTGACAATGGTACCGCAGTAAATAACCAAACCGTTGGGAGGCACTGAAATTAACGAAAGAATTTTGATTATTTCAATTTTTTTAGATCTTTCTGTCTCCGTACTCACCTTTGGTGTACAATTTGAGTCTGTGCTGGACCGACGTAATGGCACCGAGGACGGACAGGCGATTTACACGCGATTTAATATTCGAGGCCGTTCCAAACTCATCGGCCAACATTTTGCTGACGCGCGAGATTTGATCTTTTGGCGGAATAATCAAAGAAATCATGCTGGTGCCATTGCTGAAATATGCGAAAAAGAGAAGATTAAATGAGATATAAATAAATAGCAATTACGCCATAGCAACAGTGCAAAGCTAAAGTCCGGTTAAATTACAAATGTATGGTTTATAGATTTATAAATTTATAATATATAATTTATGTTTATATATAACTCTCTCGCAATTCCCTTGGACACTACTGTTATGCGATATCGAATTCACATAAATATTATTAAGCCAAATTAAGAAAATCAAAATTGGGGAAATCGGAGATAAAAGCAATGGCAAAACTGTACAATAGGCGAATAGAATTTGGCAAAAGATACAAGAAAACAACTCCAGTTGGCAGCCGTACACACACCGAGTGTGTGTTTGTGTACGTGTTTTGGCCCCAAAGTTTAATGTATGGAAGTGGCATGGCGGCGCAGCTCCTGCGGGGTCACTCGCTGATTTGCTGACCTTGTTACCCACTCCGAAGCGGAGCGAGGCGGTAAGGACCAGGTCGCGCCAGCGGCGCAGGGAAGGGGGAAACGTTGGCCACAAAGCTTGGCCCATTTCGGCGCACACAAACAAACACGCACGTACGTACATACACGTTGGAGCACAACAGTAGAGCAGCGACGGCCACGAGGCGCATTACTCACACCAAGGTGCTCGTTTGCTCTCACTCAGGCGCTCACTCACTCATTCACTCAGTCTAGTTTGAACTGATAATAACCCGACAAAAACGTGTTGCTCAAGGAAAAAAATTTAAATTGAGCCAAAGAGCGGGGTGGAGCAAGCCAGAGAGTGGGAACTGGCGGAGATTAAGACAATGCAATCGGAAGGAGAGTGGATGCCCAACAACAAGGAAAGGTGGTTGTACTCACTGCCCCATCCGCCGCCCCTGCCCACGCCCACATCCACCCCCGCCAGTCAGTGGAGAGTGAGAGCCAGAGTGTGTTGTGTATACCCCACTCACGTACACAAAGGCGGACGGGGGAAATACTGGAGGACATACTGGAGGAATAATAAATAAGGGAAAACTCACCCGCGAGCCATCTCCAGACTCTTGATCAGCTTCTTTATTTTCCAGATCTCGACATTGCGATCGGCAGACGTTTCCTCGCCAGACATTTTGCTCGTTGCTTGGGTTTATTTACTCTTCTTCCTCGCCTGGAGAGCGTGCGTGAGTGCGCGCGAGTGTTGGAGTGCTGGTGCTGGTGTGTTTGTGTGGTGAGTGGGACTGGGGATTGAGAATTTCGCCTCCTGAATCCTGGGAATCCTGAATCCAAGTGCTCTAGCTTCTCTTCTTCCGTTTTAATTCTGGCTGGTTGTTGTATTCACATTCACGTTCTTCCCTTTAACGTGGCTGGCGATGAATACACTGCAACGATTCAACACGAAAATATACACATGAGCACGAGCACACACACACATCCAAGGGTAAATAGGGGAAAAGCTAAGGGAGGAGTGGAAAGCACAGGCAGAGCACCGTAATTGCGTTTGTGATTGCATACTACTTTGTTCCCTCTGCAGAACGGCAAAGGAAATGTTAAAAAGCTGGGAAAGCCTCAAAACAGAATTGAAACCGTTCGAAATTAATTTGGCATGAAAGGCCCGCACACACAGCGCTTGATGTGAACGAAGTTGGAAACTCTGTTATTTCATTATTTCACTCCACCACTAAGCTTTCGGGGGAGAGCGACAGAGAGAGTACGCAAAAAATTAGCAGCGAGAGTGAGTGGGAGCGAGAGAGAGCGAGTGCTCCAAAGGTGACGTTGACACAATCGCGTGCCACGGCCAAAAGGTCCCCGAAAAGGCTTGCTGCGTAACGTTTTTTCTTCGCTTTCTTGGTGGCATTATTATCACGATGCGAGTCTGCTTGCACTTTCACAATCCGGGCTTTGTTACAATTGGCGAATACATCTGCATAAATTTTTCACATACAACGTGCACCGAGCTCAGAAAATAGAGGTGGGGAAATTTCGATGGCACTATCGATATGTCTAACCATTGCGATATCTATTTCATATCGATGAATTTAATGCAATCGACATATCGAAGTGTTACCATCACTTCGATACAACCAATTTATTTAGCTATTTTTTTTTTGCAATTCAAATTCTGTCTATCAAAAATCGATATCGATATCGTGAATGCCAGCTGCCATTTTAGAAGAAGAAGAAGACTGTAAACAAAAATGAATTTGGAGCTGCTGGGTAAGAAACCGCGCGCATATCTAAAATTTAACCATAATTAAAAAACCTTTTTGTAGAATCTTTTGGACAAAACTATCCCGAGGAGTTTGACGGTTCCCTGGACTGCATATCGCTGGCGGTGACGTGTGCCTTCAACAAGTACGGAACTCTGCTGGCCGTGGGCTGCAACGATGGACGTATTGTTATTTGGGATTTCTTGACGCGGGGCATTGCCAAGATTATATCCGCCCACGTGCACCCTGTGTGCAGCCTCAGTTGGACCAGAAATGGCCATAAGGTGGGTGGTTTTCTTTCATGGTTCCTTTAATTTTTCATTGAAACATTGAACTACTTTTCAGTTACTCTCCGCATCCACAGACAACAATGTGTGCATTTGGGACGTGCTCACTGGTGAATTGGAGCACAAGTATAGATTTCCCTCGCCCGTTCTGAAAGTTCAGTTTGATCCACGCAACGACAATAGACTGCTGGTTTGTCCCATGCGATATGCCGCCGTGCTGGTGGAAATCGGTGGAGCTCACCGGTGTCTACCCTTAGACTCTGATGTTAGTTTTCTTATAACCGAGTTAGATGGTGTTCATAACCCTTTGCCTCTCTGGTTTTCTTTCAGGGCGACCTAAACATTGTTGCCTCATTTGATCGAAGGGGAAAACATATTTACACAGGCAACGCCAAGGGAAAGATACTAGTGTTGGACGTGGATACATTTGAGGTGGTGGCCAGTTTTCGTATCATCGTGGGCACCTCGAGTGCAACGGCTGTCAAGAGTATTGAGTTCGCCCGACGGGGAGAGTAAGTATATTTGGGAATTTGAATTGAATCGGTACTGCAACCAATTTCATATCCATTTAGCGCCTTTCTCATCAACACCTCCGATCGAGTTATACGAGTATACGACTCCAAGGAGATCATCGCTCTGGGCAAGGACGGCGAACCAGAACCAATTCAAAAGCTGCAGGATTTGGTTAACAAGTAATACATTATTAAACCATATAGGCCACCTATTCCTCATATTGATCCGTTTTACAGGACAACATGGAAAAAGTGTTGCTTTTCCGGTGATGGCGAATACATTTGTGCGGGCAGTGCTCGCCAGCACGCTCTCTATATTTGGGAGAAATCGATTGGTAATCTAGTTAAAATACTGCACGGCACAAAGGGAGAGCTCCTACTGGACGTCGTGTGGCATCCAGTTCGACCCATAATTGCCAGCATTAGCTCGGGTCTGGTATCGATTTGGGCACAGAACCAGGTGGAAAACTGGTCTGCCTTTGCGCCAGACTTTAAGGAGCTGGACGAGAATGTAGAGTATGAGGAGCGTGAGTCCGAGTTCGATATAGCGGACGAGGACAAGTCGGTTGACCTCAACGCAGACGCACAGCAGGATGAGGAGATCGAGGTGGACGTGCAGAAGGTGGAGCCGGTGGCTGCCTTTTGCTCCTCAGATGAGGAGGGTGAGGATGAGAATGCCCTACAGTTCCTGCCGATGGCGCCGGAGGTGGAGGATCCCGAGGATGGCTGGACTGGTCAGGATGGAGGTCTTGAGGCCAGCTCCGTGATGCTGAGCGCGGACCCACATGACTATGAAGACGATATAATGGCCGCCAAGCGAAGACGTATGCAACTTCACGATGTCAGCCTGCCTGATGCACCCACTGATGGTATGGATAAACTAGGGGTTTTTATCATTTACGAAACCATTTGATTAATCTCTTTTTCCAGAAACCCATCCCCTCATCTCTAGCAAGGCCAGCAAGGACAAACAGCAGCCCGTCGGCGGGAAAAAGGCCGCAGGTCGAACAAAGAAATAAATATTAGATGACCTAAAATAACGTTGTGTTATTGCATCTGGCATTTGAATAAAGTTTCGCCCATATCGCTAAGTCGCCTTAGGGTTCCGCACTTGGCCGGCGAAGAGCAACAGGTTGGTCTCCTTCTCCACGATCATGTACTGAAAGGGCTTGTTCAGCTGGAACTTTGGCGGTGTGGCTTTGTTGACCAGCGAAGCCTCCGTAACGGCGCCCGCTGTAGTGCCCTCCTCGTCAACAATGATCTTGGTGGAATGAACGCAAAGCTGAGCGACCAATCCAGGCGCCATGCGACTCAGGTTGGCTGTATTCTCGTCGAAAAGATCACGGATTCCCATCTGCAAATATTAAAGAGAGTTAGGAGACTCGAACGAGGATTTTTATAAGAATGGGTTCGTATACCTCATTAAGTATATCCTTTAGCTTAAAGTCTGTGGTCGTCACGAATTTTGGCATCATTACCTCCACCTCGTTATCCTCGGAGAAGCTATTGGCCTTGAAGGCAGCCAGGCGCTTTATGATGGGACCCATGCCGATGTTTTTCAGATTGTTGGCCACGTCGTTGAGTTTAAAACCCCGCTTGGGAAGAATCACGATCATCGACAGCCTGTCCTGGCTGCCATAGGGCAGCTCGAGAACGTAACCATCCAGACCCTCGATGTTGGAGGCATAGGCGAAGTTTGCCTCCTGTACCATCATAGGAATGCGGGCCACCACCTCGCCATCCTCGTTGAAGAATGATTCTACTCTGGTGAGAGTTCGGTTGAAGGGGAACTGCAATGGAACTGCACACATGAAGGGATCTGTGTGAAAACACGAAATTCAAGGTCGCACCTTCCATTGGCCCTTAAAGAAGAGCGAGGAGAGCAGGAACATCTTGGCTCCATACAGTTCCTGCGGCAGAACAGTGTACGGAATCAGTCCTCGAGTGGTGCGATTGGTGGCCTCATTAATCAAATGCACTGTGTCCCGATCGTAGAAATCCACTTCCATCGGCTGAACGTTGTAATTCTGGATGGCACTTCGGTAGCTGCTCTTTATCGGGTAATCTGTGTCGGTGTAAACAGCCTGAAGAGAGGCCACTTCAATAGTGGATGTTTTAGTGCTTAAGACGAAAAAAAAAAACAGTTAAGTTGTCTTATCGGGGCATCTAGGTAATACAATTTAAACTATTTTTTCTCATTTTTAATCAAATCTTTCTTGAGATTTTAGTAATTCAATTTTTACAAAATTCTTCTACTCACTTCAAATACGAATTCCACACCTGGTAGACGCCCCGCAGCTTCTCATCTTCGACATTGATCCGCAGCGCCTTACGCAGCTGGTTGTAGGTTTCGCCCGATGATCCCTCGTAAAGGAGCACCAGGAGCGACCATACCGAGAAGGGTGACACCATGAAGTCCCTTTGGGTCTTGTGAACCTCGACAGATATGCGCTGCAGAATATCGAGGGCGAATTCCTGGGCTCCCTGCGATATATTTAGCAACACCTCGCTGTCGAAGTTACTTCGCAGTGACTGGACACGGCTGGCTTGCCTTTCGAAGGCTGTCGAATCAGTTAAAGCTATCAGGGGATTTCCCACCGACAGCTGTGGCACTTTATCCTGTGACGAGCAAAGTCCAATTGCGCTTAATACCAATGGGATCCACAGGACCATAATGCGAGCTGCAATAAATTAGAGATATTTATTGGATTATAAAATTTATATTCTAATTGAAGGTGTATTTACGAGTATTTTGTGTATTAGCGATGCTCATACATTCAACATACTATATTATAAATACATGCATATGTATATTAATTTACTTTATATGATGTTTTAACCTGTAAAGCACACGATTTGTAGTAGAAAGCTGTTCTCATTGATTCATTTGAAATCTGCCTGATTGTTTTTGGCTTTTCGGGTTATATAATTATAAACCAAAATATATTTGTTTCCTCAGATGCGTAAACAATGAGCATTTCCCAACTGATAGCGATGATCTGTTGGCGACCTTCTCTATAGACATATGTATATGTTCATATATATAAATATAAATCCAGTATATGAATTAAATAAAGCTTAATAGAAGTAAAACCTCAACCCAATAAACTTGAGGAATATCCCATAATTATTGTTTAATTGATATTTACCTGGTATTTGTAGCATTTTGCGGCTGTCAATCGTTTGTTAGTTGGTTTAAGCCTCGGTTATCAGACTTTCCAGAGTTGGGAGAATCGATATGGTATTAAAGATTGTGGGCACAACACGAATGAAATCACACTGTATGGGTAAACATGTGGGTGTGCGTCCAATTATTGAGGTTTTTTATTTATTTTTTTATTGATGTCTTTTGGGGTTTTTCGATGTCGGAATTTCAGTGTGAAGCCAAGTAGCTCTGACGTAGCGAAGTTTATATGTACGATATTCCAAAAACCGGAATGCACTGGGACTTCCACAGATACACAAACACACTGTCAGCAGCAGGGCAGTAGCAGATATATATTCAAAAGTTCGCGTATCGTTATTGTGCTTATATAACTAAGCCGATTCCACTATTACTTATTTGAGTTTCTGGACTAAGCCCAATGGAGAAATTAGTTTGCGAAGAACTCTGTGGGAATTATAATCCCATTCGCCTCAGGAATGAACCTAACGCGCGAACATTGGCTGGATGAATGAGAGATCGCTCCAGCGACCCTCCACAGAACTGATATGGTCATCGCGTCATCACCGCCGAGAGTTCGACTTCAAATCAATCCCCGATCCCCAGTGATGTGTGTTCGGAGAGCGAAACGAGAGAACTCTGTTGATATTGGCAGCTCTTTGTTGTGCTCTTGACAATGACGTTCGCACAAGTTTCCCTCAATCTGGACGATCGGGTTGAAGTGCTTCTATATGGCAGCTGATCCGTTTAGCGGATTGAGGTGAAAACTGGTTGACATCCAGGGAAAAATACAAGCAACTTATCTGGATGGATATAAATTCTACCTAGATCGGTTTAACAAAATTAATCCTAGTACAAACTTATATTCTATTGAAAAATACTTCTATCTGCTTTTAAACTCAATCGATTTCAAATTAATTTAAACAGTTTTTAAAAGTATGTTAAAAAATAATAATAATTTGGAAAAACAAAGGCTTCGAAATAATTAAATTTTTAAGACACTATTCAGTGGTTTTTAAACCGTAGCAATTTCTTGAAATACATACCTTAGTCGTTGTATTTTATATCAAACTAATAAAAAATAAGAAATATAAATAAAGAATTTTCTAGTGTTGAATAGAAACACAAATGTGGATGTGGCTGGATCGGTTGTGCGTATATTGACAAAAAATCTTGACACAGGACAGACAGGATGATGACAAGATTAATCAAGCATTTAACTTTATTGTAGTATTTTAATTTGAAATATCTATGGTAATGCATGCGTAGTATTGCCATTACTTAGATAATTGCTCTTGATTTAATTAAGTGTGTGTGGCTTGTGTGTTTCCTGGAGATATATTAATTCAATAACTTGATATTTTTCCCGACTTCGTTTCGGCCCAGCACGTTCATAATTTTATTTATTGGATTATAACTCTTTTCACATACATGTTCATAGGAAGTTGATCTACTAAACATTTGTTAAAATTTTGTTGCGAGATGGAATATTCTATAAATGTGACCCTCAAGTATTTATAAGAATTCCTTTTTCTTTTCCTTTTTTTGTTTGGATATTTATAGGGGTAATCGTTAATGTTTATATGGACATATATTAAGTTAATTATTCGTAGGTTGTGTTTTTACTTTTCTCTGTGCAGTTTATAGGGAATTGTAATCACTACGAGGGGACGAATCATTATTAATAAATCTCGAAATGATCCAACACAGTACACATGTGGAGAATGAAGGTTAAGTCAATATTTATAGGGGATAGTTTACGAGTCCAAATCAAATAGCAGCTAATTCAATATTTTTGGCTACTTACACAAATAACAAGAGACAAAGAGTAACACAATAAAAAAACAGACAAACATAACAGTGTTACACATCCAATTCCTAAACTCGATCGGCAATCGGAAACTAAATTCTAATCGAACCTGTTATTCGTTGCACGGCTGCGATTCAAATTTGTGGAATAGGGAGGGAACACGGACTATTCGGTAATTTAAGTTCTCGCGATTAAGCAGGCTGTCGTCCTATAGGTGCTCTCAGGTTTTAGCAATGCAACACGTTTTTAATTAATCTTCATTTAGTTATGTATATATATAGGTAGATATTAATATCCGAACCGAATAAAGCATTTAATAAATGTGTGTATGCGTCTCTTTATCGGAAAGTGTGTTATTAATTGATAAGCTTATCGCAGGTCGGGATCCTCGTCAGCAGCCTTCTTGATCCGCAGCAAGATAGTGGTGTACCACTGATCCAACCGGGAGATGCTGTCATAGTCCTTGACGGCCTCTGTGAATCCTTCAATATTCTGTTCTTCAAGATGCTCGCACAACACCTACAGTCAAACAAGATAAGTATGCGAACATCTTATGGCAAGACGGGGAGAGATGGGACTAACCTTGATGAGCTTGAACTCCCTGGAGTCCTGGAATGCTGGATACTGCTGCGCGTACTTCTCGATGGCATGCTGGGCATTCAAAAGGTCCACACTCAGATGACAGAGAGCGGCCCTAAAGAAGTACTCCTTGGCACTGTACTTGAGCAACGAGCTCTCCAGCGAAGAGGCGGCCACCTGCTCGTAAATGGATATTGCTTTCTCGTAATCCTCCAGCTGGGCGGCATATTGTGCCACCTTCAGCATACACTTGTTGGCCGAACTGACCGACTCTTCGCCCTTAAAGTAATCAGCCGCCTGTTCGTAATGCTGTATTGACTTGGCCTGCGAAAATGTAACAATTAAATCTACAAAAAATCACATAAACTCGAGTTTGAAACGAACCAAGGTATTGGGATCACTCTCGTACATCTCGGCAATGCTCTGGTGATGCTTCGCTGCCATTGTGAAGCGTCCCATGTCCGTGTAGATGTCAATGGACTTCATGAGACAATTGACAGCGCTCTCCACGTCCACCTTCTTGTAGCAGTTGGAGGCATCCACGTAGCAGGTGCCAGCATCATGGCGACTTCCAGCACGGGCATGTAGCGTGGCCGCCTCGCAGAAGCATTCTCCGGCCTTTGTCCAGTTTTTGGACATCTTGAACATGTTACCAGCCCGCTGATAACACTCAATGGCATCCTCCACTTTGTTGGAGCCCCTGAAATATTTTTTTATCATTAATTTTATAATATTTCTAATAACATTTATAAAAAATCATTAAACTCGGGAAGCTAAAACTAAAGATTCGATATCTAACCTCTACAGATTTTCATTATCGCAAGTAAATTTGAAAGCCAAGCAAAAATATTGAAAGGGAGAAACTAATGGTACTATTACTGGCAATAATACTGATTTTCATGAAGGATCTGAATAAGTCAAAGTCGATATATGTATGTATATATTAACCTATACCTCTTTGTTTTTAAAAGTTAACACAATGAATGATTCATCAATACGTAAACGAATGTTAACGCCATCGAATGTAAATACCTAGATAACACTGACAACTCATTGTTTTTTAGCATTTCAACGGTTTAACTCTCCAACAATCCACATCTTAAGCTGATAATAAATGTAACCTGGACTTTTGCACTTCTGTGTAAGATTATTATGGCGTGGAGGCGCAGGCGGTGTACACATCTACGTATACGTATTATTGTTGGGTGTGTGTTGCATGGGAAAGCCTACGCCAACTAGCCTGCCCATTATCTTCGGGCAGTAATAGAAAAGGAACAGACCATAGCTACATATTGCCCCAACTACCAACTTCAAGTCCACACTTCTACTTCCATTGCGAAATGGACCATTTACGCACCCGAATAGCGATCCCAGGAAGCCTTTTTGCTGGGTCAGCTTCTTCTCCGCCTCGGCCATCAGCTGGAGCGCCTTCTGTTCGTTGTCACCCATGTCGAGGATTTATGTCCGCCTCGGCACTAATTGCATTTAAATATTAAGGTTTCTTCGGCTTTGCAGCGAGTGAGTACGTATTGGGAATCTTTAATTTTCAAGAAAATAAAATCAATATGCCTTACAGTGTGGCCAGCTTAGCTTACTTCAGGAAATATCTGGCATATTTGAAAATGGGGAAAGCTTATGAAATTTCCTTAAGTCTGGCAACCTTACAATGTTGTCGCAAAAATAAACAATTTAATCTCTTCGCGTTATATTTAAATATTAACTGAATCCTATTCGTTGCAAATTCAGTGTTATTAATTATTCCCTTGCATGCTATTAAAATTTTAGTCAGAAGTCGCACAAATATGAAGTCGACATTTCCGACCCTATAAATAAAACAATTTATTTTTAATCATATTCTTGTATTATTTTAGAATTTCGGTTTTAATTTTATGAAAATAATTTAATTATGAAAATATAATATAGATGACATAGGAGCGATCGAGCAATTAATACAAGAAAAAATCTAATTTTGATGTTATTCAAAATATTTTCATCTGCCTTTTTTAATTTTTCAGAATTTTGATTTTAATTTTATGGAAATATGACGACTATATAGCTGCCAGTAAGTAACTATGTATCTATGACTAGTAAGTATGTAAAGGGGACCATGGAAATAAGGAAATAAATTAGAATACAAAGTCTAGACCTAGGTCTGATACCACCAATAGCTTCTTTATACTTAATATAAATGTCATGGTTAAAGCTTACCGCAGTAGAGGACACGTGGCTCTTTTGTCATTGCTTACTTCCTTCCAGTGTAGTGACCAAGAATGGTTACTTCATCCAAGTGAGCTTCTTCCTGGTCATCCAGATGTGTTGCATTGGCCACGCCATATTTTTGGGATCGAAGGGTAGTCACTATCACTATCACTATCGATGTAAACATTAGGTACCCCTAGGACAGACTGAGGCGCGCGCGACCTCAGCGCCTCTATTTATAGTCCCCGAGAAGAGAAGAGAAAGTGAGTGTGAGAGCGCGGGAGAGAAGGAGTTGCCTCTAGAGATATACACAGAGCGATAGACAAAGAGAGAGAGGGGAGAGGCAAAGAGACAGAGAAACTGCAAGCAGATATTTAATTTAACTATGAGCAGTAAGTATCTATGACCAGTAAGTAACTATGATCCGTAAGTATCTATAACCAGTAAATATGAATGATCATTTACTAACTTTAATCACTAATAAACAATGACTTGCAACTTTTGTAACATAACACATTTCTGGGACATGGCCGGCAGCAGTCACTTCGTTCCGGGGACGTTAGAACTAGTTGGGAATCATATGCACAGATGTGTGACATTTGTTTTGGAGCAAATTTAAGCTATTTGAATGAAAGTATGGGGTTATTCTTCTATATAATTTTACTAGTATATAAATCGGAGCATGGCGAATCGGTGGACTATATATATACATTTACATATCAGCTGTCGACGATCGAATATTGTAATCGATAGGCGTAGTTAGTATATTAAGAATAACGTAAAAAATACTAATGGATTTTGAGCCCAAGAGAAAAAGGGCATACTTTTATCGCTAAGTTAACCGCCAAAATTGAGCGTCTTATTGTCGTGCGAGAATTAGGAGGACACACTGCGGTAAGCGCGTGTGAGAGTTATAAATGTGTAAAAATTAAGATTAAGTTAATTTTTCCGCAGAATAAAACGACGAAAACTTCACATCTAATTGCCGGCCTCGGGCCAAGAGGCTTCCCTATTGTTTGGCGGGAACTGGAGATGTGGAGCCGTTAAAGGCAAATCCAAGTGACGCACGACAACTCCTTTTATTCGCAGTCCGATAGAGACAGAGCGCAGCCAGCGTCCCACGTGTTGATGGAGAAGTCGCAGCCAGCGACAAGGAGACGCGGGTAGCGTCAGTGGTCGCAGCCAGCGACGAGGAGACGCGGGTAGCGTCAGTGGTCGCAGCCAGCGACGAGGAGACGCGGGTAGCGTCAGTGGTCGCAGCCAGCGACGAGGAGACGCGGGTAGCGTCAGTGGTCGCAGCCAGCGACGAGGAGACGCGGGTAGCGTCAGTGGTCGCAGCCAGCGACAAGGAGACGCGGGCGGCGTCAGTGGTCGCAGCCAGCGACAAGAAGGCACAGGTACGCCATTTGAAGTGCGCTAAGTCAGCGCCCTATTGGAATCGGGAAGATGCAGCGCTCACCCAGGAGGAGCGCCCGGCTGAATGGAGGGGAAGCCACCCCTATAACAACACGAGAAGATCAGCAACCAGTGAGTAGTGAAACAGAAACCTGGCCACTGGTAGGCGTAACCACGGCAGCGGCTATACCTAGCCCAGCCACTACGGAGATTACATCAGCTTCCCAACATGGAAGCACTACAGCCTCAACTGCGAACATCAATGCCAGAGAGGATTTCACGTTGGATCTCCTGGCGAGGATCGCAGCGCTGGAAAAGGAGCTGCAGCAGGTTAAAGCCCTGGGAAGCGTGGGCACCGCCAATTGCGCGCCAGTCACAGTTGGCGCGCACAGTGTAGCGTCAGGCCGGCCGCCATTTTGGAGCGGTCCGCCATTAGCGACATCGGTTGAGGAGACCTCATGTAACGGGGTCGGGTCGGCGCCCTATCACAGTGTCGGTGGGCACAGCGCGTCCTGCACGCTGCCGCCACCTTGCAATGGGCCGCCACCTTGCAGTGGGCCGCCGCTCACAGCAAGCACTGCGCAGACGGCGCAAGGATTCACACTACCGGGTGTGAATATGCGCAACGTGGCATCAGTTTCGCCACTTGTCGGATCCCCCACTATATTGACGTCGAATGGAATTCAAGGAACATACGGGCCAAGAAAGCTCCCAGATCTGCCTATATTTGGAGGGCAGCCAGAGGAGTGGCCGATTTTCAGCTGTGCGTTCACGGAGACGACACGGGCGTATAACTGCACGGATTTGGAGAACAATCAAAGGTTGTTGAAGGCGCTAAAGGATGACGCTCGCGAGGCAGTGAAGTCGCTATTGATTCATCCAGGGAACGTCAGCGCCGTGATGGAGCAGCTGCGCTTTAGGTTTGGCCGACCGGAGCAGCTTATACGCAGTCAGCTGAACAACATACGAGAAGTGCAACCAATTTCAGAGCACAATCTAGCGAAGATTGTTCCCTTCGCTACCCGAGTGAGTAACCTCATGGCTTTCTTGCAGGCGGCGAACGCGGAGCAGCATCTGGGAAACTCATCCCTCATGGAGGAGCTTGTGGCCAAGCTTCCTACGAGCAAGCGCGTGGATTGGGCTAAGTATTCTGCGACGATCCAGCCCTTTCCCACTATAGTGCACTTCAGCGCATGGTTACAGGGCTACGCAAACGTTTTGTGTACCGTTTTGGATGTAGAGGGAGGGGAGCCGAAGCGTCGAGTTCTACATGCTAATATCGACGCCAAGAAATGCGATCGACAGGATGATCGGCATGGATGTTGTCCAATCTGTGGAGGACAACACGCAGTTACGAACTGCCAGGAATTTATTGGAACTCCGCCACCGGGCAGGTGGAGCATGGTGAAGAGGCAAAAGCTCTGCTTCTCATGCTTACGAAGTGGGCACACGACGAGATTCTGCAATGTGCATAGGGAGTGCCAGATTAACGACTGTCGCAAGTTGCATCACCGTCTGCTGCATGATGCGGACGATGAGCAAAGGCCGCAGCAACGAGGTGGGTACAGTCGCCACAACGAGGAGAACCAGCAGCCAGCGGTTTCCAGACACAGCCCGGACAGGAGGTATTTACAACGAGACGGTCACAGGGACCACGAGGGGAACCAGCAGCCAGCGGTTTCCAGACACAGCCCGGACAGGAGGTATTTAGCACGAGATGGTCACAGGGACCACGAGGGGAACCAGCAGCCAGCGGTTTCCAGACACAGCCCGGATAGGAAATATTTACCACGAGATGGTCACAGGGACCACGAGGGGAACCAGCAGCCAGCGGTTTCCAGACACAGCCCGGATAGGAGATATTCACCACGAGACGGTCACAGGGACCACGAGGTGAACCGGCAGCCAGCCATAAACAGCCCGGAGAGAAGGGCACCGCAGGAAGCAGATTTGCCTGTGCAGAGGAATCTAAGCTGCGTTGACGCCGAGGGAGGCCGCCTTCTGTTCCGTATACTGCCAGTAACGCTGTACGGAGCCGGACGGACGGTGAATACGTACGCGCTTTTTGACGAAGGATCCTCCGTTACGATGATCGACGAAGAACTACGGAGGGATCTCGGAATACAAGGGGAGCGCCGACAGCTAAATATCCAATGGTTTGGAGGAAGAGCATCCAGAGAGACCACGAACGTAGTGAGTCTGAAAATAAGTGGAATTGGAAAGTCCACTCGCCATGTACTGAGAAACGTGTATGCCATTTCGAGCTTGAGCCTGCCGATGCAGACATTAAGTCGGCAGGATGTCCAGGGTGTGCGTAAGGATGCGCGTCTGCCGATGAAGCCTTACAGCAATGTGGTGCCGAAGTTGCTCATCGGCCTGGATCATGGACACCTGGGATTGCCAATGAGAACCAGGCGATTTGGTAGTGAGGGACCGTATGCAGCTGCCACCAAGCTAGGCTGGGTTGTGTTCGGGCCCGTAAAGGGGCAGTTCACTTCGCCATCACCGAGGTCCTGCCTGCTTGCCGTGTCGAAGGATGATACAATGGAAAAAATGGTAGAGGATTATTTCGATTTGGAGAACTTTGGTGTGAAGCTCGTGTCACAGGTCGCAGCCAGCGACGACATGCGGGCACAAAGGATACTCGAAGACACCACGATGAGAGTGGGGCGCCGCTACCAAACGGGACTACTCTGGAAGGACGACCACGTTAAGCTGCCACAGAGCCATGAGATGGCGTACAAACGGCTGGTCAACGTCGAGAAGAAAATGAAGCGCAACGAACAGATAGCTCTGGAATACTGTCGGATCATCAAGGATCATGTTGCAAAAGGATACGCGAGGCGGTTGGAACCGCATGAGGCCGCGGAGAATAGTGACCGGATATGGTATTTGCCACATTTTGGTGTCGAAAACCCGAACAAGCCCGGTAAGGTCCGGCTTGTGTTCGATGCGGCAGCCAAAGTTGGAGAAACGTCGTTAAGTTCGGCATTGGGCAAAGGACGTCAGGACTACAAGTCTTTGCCAGCCGTGCTCTTCCTGATGATTACAGCGAAGCTGTTGCTGAGAGAGATTTGGAGGCAGAAGATCCAGTGGGATGAACCACTACCGGAGGAGATTGGCAAGGCCTTTGCGATTTGGCGTAAAGAGATGGATGCCGTAGGACAGTTCCGTTGTCCTCGCCATTATTTTGGGCACGGAGCAGTTAGAGCCATAGAGCTGCACGTGTTCGTGGATGCAAGTCAATCTGCATTCGCGGCGGTGGCCTACTGGAGGGTCACATATGAGGACGATAATGCGTTGGTGAGCTTCGTATGCGCAAAGACGAAGTGTGCCCCGATGAGAACGATGTCGATCCCACGGCTGGAGCTGCAAGCAGCAGTTCTTGGAACCAGACTAATGAACACTGTCAAGGAGGAGCACAGTGTAGTCATCAACGACGTGGTCTTATGGTCAGACTCGAAGACGGTGCTGAGATGGATTGGCAGCACACACCGCCGGTACAAGCAGTCTGTCGGCAATCGAGTGTCTGAGATTTTGGATTCGTCGAAGGTTTCCCATTGGCGATGGGTACCTACAGCCGAAAATGCGGCGAACCCGTCTGAGGGAGGAATATGGGAGCGTATGGTGCAGTGCGTCAAAAGAGTACTGCGTCATACCCTAAAGGAAGTCGCACCGAGGGAACATGATTTGGAGAGTTTCCTGATCGAGGCGGAGAATGTAGTCAACTCGCGTCCGCTTACCCATTTGCCGGTGGAAGCGGACCAGGAAGCATCGTTGACGCCGAATGACCTACTCAAGGGAGTAGCCAACCTGCCGGATACCCCTGGACTGGGTGCGGAGTTACCAAAGGAATGCTCAACACGAAAGCACTGGAGGATTGCTCGCCTGCTGAGAGACCGCCCTTGGAAGAGGTGGGTCCTGGAGTACCTACCTACGCTGGTGCGGCACGAGAAGTGGTGCAGGAGGACGGAGTCCGTCCGTCAGGGCGACATGGTCTTCATCTGTGATCCTGCCTTGCCCCGACGAGAGTGGCGCAAGGGCATCGTGGAGGGAGTCTACAACGGAGCTGATGGAGTCGCCAGATGCGCTACAGTGCGCAAAAACGACGACGGCCTATCTCAGACAATGATGCGACCCGTCTCTAAACTTTTGAAGTTTTGAATTGAGTGAAGCGGTTCTTCACGGGGTCGGGGATGTCGACGATCGAATATTGTAATCGATAGGCGTAGTTAGTATATTAAGAATAACGTAAAAAATACTAATGGATTTTGAGCCCAAGAGAAAAAGGGCATACTTTTATCGCTAAGTTAACCGCCAAAATTGAGCGTCTTATTGTCGTGCGAGAATTAGGAGGACACACTGCGGTAAGCGCGTGTGAGAGTTATAAATGTGTAAAAATTAAGATTAAGTTAATTTTTCCGCAGAATAAAACGACGAAAACTTCACATCTAATTGCCGGCCTCGGGCCAAGAGGCTTCCCTATTGTTTGGCGGGAACTGGAGATGTGGAGCCGTTAAAGGCAAATCCAAGTGACGCACGACATCAGCCATAGGAATAACATATCATTATTTTCATTAAATTGGATTTATAGCCATAATATATTAATCTACAATTTTGTGTAAAATTTTGTCAAAATCGGACGACTATATCATATAGCTGCCATACAAACCATCGTTAAAAATAGAGGAAAATGCAAAACGGTGAATGTAAAACTGTAAATATAGTGTATAGGCATTACTTCGTTGTTTTTTAACATCAATAATAAATAATTATTTGTCATTTATGAAGTATTTACAATCTGCAAGGTTCAAAAACTTCGGCTTCTAGAAGTAAACTTCCTTCTTGTTTTGAAATAAAACTAGATTCACATTTATTTTATGAATTTATTCTGTATTCTGCCTTTTAAGGAGTAAAAGTTTAATATCTAACGAGTTATTCGCATGCATTTATCATTTATCTCCAGAATTAAAATGGCTTTATTGAATGATCAGTCAACTGGATAAACTTTTGATCGTAATGCTAATGGTACGGTGCTCGAATCACCATTGCTTAACATAATCATATGAATGCGTTTTGTTGTAGGTTTATTAAGTGATTGGGTGTGACGAACATTAAACATATATGTAAATAGATGAACTAAAACCACGTTCTGAACTGAGGAAAACAAATAAACTCTAAATATAAAACATAGAACAATCAAATAACTTCGAACAGAAATTACTAAATTTTTAAAACGTGTGTGTGCGCTTTTAGGGAGTGTTCGTGTTAGTTTGTGGAAAGTTTAGCTTGTTGACAGGCCGCCGGCTACATCTAGATGAACATTTTTTCCAGCATTTTCCTAAGTTTCTCCTGGGCGTAGCGGATCTTCTGGTACAAGTCCTTAGACACGCCGTTCTCCACAATGGTCGAGAATCTATAAGTGCGGAAGTTCTTCTCGTGATCCATATAGGTAATGGCACTCATGCGTGGACAGAGAATGAGCTTCATGTGATCCGAAAAGTTTAGCTGAATAGGGTTAGACGAAGGCAAAAGCTGCAGCATCTTTTATTATTATTATTATATTATAACTTACCTGCACGGATCCATTAGTTAGATGCATGACCACGGCGCATGTGGTGCGGAACCAGGAGTGCAGATGCGGCATACGCGAAATCTGATCACTCTCAATGTTCACATTGTTGGCGCCGGCTTTCACCAAGTGCTCGATCATATAGCGCTTAAAGTACGACAGCAGCTTCATCTTCTTGTCGAGCGACTTGCAATAGTCGGTGGTGGTCATGTAACTCTCCTGGCCATCCTTGTCGATGAAATGAACGTTGATCTGGTTGGGCAAGAGGATCAGCTTTGTGGTGTCGTTAAACATTACGCCGATGCCCTCGTCGCACAGCTGGTAGCCGAAGCCATATTTGTCGCTATAATCCACCCATTTCGATATCCAGAAGAGCGGTTGTGCTGCCGGATCAGTGTTTTCGTCGCCCAAATTGCCTTGAAGGATGCGCGGCTGTAGCAAGAAGGAAACATGTGGTCAAATGCTCTACATATTATCTTCAAGGGAAAAATAACTTATATACTCCTTACCTTGCCATTGATAAGATTGGTGAGCTGCTGATACAGGCTCTCGATGTCGCTGCGATAGTCCTCGCTGTGGCGACACACTTGCGCCGAGGCGGTAATGGCGTCATGGAGATTAGCCTTAAGGAAGGTCGACTCCAAGCGTGTGTCGTCCGGCCTCATTCCGTTCATCTCCATCAGCGGCTTGCGGTGCACAGCATCTTCGATGGTATCGTTGCTGCCGATTCGAGGCGCCATCGTCAGACAAGAGCTGGGCAAGAACATCGGTACCTTGGAACCCTTAAGGAACTCGAAACTCAAAAGATGACCAATGGCAGGCCGGCTCTCCGGGTTCGGCTGGAGCATAGCAATCACCATGTCCGCCGCCGGCTTCCTCAGATAGCTGGGAACGCGGTACTCGCACTTTTTGATCTTCGAGTAAGTGTCTTTCAACGTCTTTGTTTCGAACGGCGGCTGGCCGACCAGCAGCGTATACATGACACAGCCAATTGACCAAATATCGACCTCGAAGGAGTGGCCCTTCTTGGTGAGTATTTCCGGTGCAATATAGTTAGGCGTGCCGCACAGTGTCTTTTTGCGCTCACCCTCGTAGTCGATACGCGTAGCCAGGCCAAAGTCACCGATTTTCACGTGCAGCAAATCATCGAGAAAGAGGTTGCCCAGCTTTAGATCGCGATGGATGATGCGATTATCGTGCAGATACTTGACGCCCTGTATAATCTGATAGATGTAGTAGCGGCACTCGAACTCGGTGATGCTCTTTCGGCGTTTGTGCAGCTCCATCATGGACTGTTAATGGGCAAGGGTCGAGGATCAGTAAAGATGGGGTTAATACAGAAGAACAGCTATTACTCACTCGCTTCTTGCACAGCTCCAGCACAATGTAGATATTTTGCACATCCTCGAAGTAGCTGTGGAACATGACAACGTTCGGATGGTTGAGGCTGCGGTGAATTGTGATCTCCTGGGCTGTCTTCTCCTTCTGATTGTGCTTGATCATAAGCTTCTTGGACACGATCTTTCCCGCGAATGTTTCGTCGGTCGCCACATCGATGATCTCGTAGCATTTTGCAAAACCCCCCTGCGCATAAATAGATTTTATAAAGGATTTGTTAACTTTCGTGGAAGTTGAAAAGAAATGCTTGTAAAATAGCTCATAAGCAGTTAATTTAAGAATTAGTTTTTAATTTGCTAAACTTGCAGATGTAAATTCAAGTCGCGCCAAAACACAAAAATTAAACTGCCGTCGCACTCACACATACAACTACAACTACGCTTGCTCTCTCTCTGATCTACCAAGAACAACACAACAACAACAAGGAGCAAGCGCAGGCGAAGGGCACAAAAGGAAACGGAGCAAAAGAACCGGGATGTGTGTGTGTGCATGTGTGTGAGTGGAAATATTGATGCGCTGTGCCGAGGACTTGGAACAGCCGTAAATGGCATTGCAGCTTACCTTGCCGAAAAACCGCAGGCGCTTGTAGGTCTTTCGATTATTGGAGTCAAACAGGCGATCCGGAATATCCGTGCTCTTATCATCAGGCTTCGCGGCCATTTTGATCTGCCTTCTGGAGCTCCCTTTTGCACTGGCGTTTCACCTGGAGTTGAGAAAATGCTTTGTTGCAGACTGGTCGATGCGATCTATCTCCGCCGATGCGCCGCGATCGCCCAAGATACCACTTAAACGGGAACAATTAAGAGATCCACACAATTAACAAACAAAGTCCACGAGCGATCATCGACGCCAGCCAAAAATGCACGAAAAACAGGCGCAAAGCGGACAACGCGCCGAAACCGTTCGATTTTTTTAAATGGCAAAAAAATGGTCTGCAAGAAGCGTCAGCTGTGTGACCGTTTGGCCGGAATATTGTGATATCACTTGCGCCGGTGTTGCCACTTGGCGACAATTGGCTGTTATTTGTTTAAATAAAGTAAAAATTATTAAACATACTTCTAGTACAGACTTATTATGGTTTATATTTGGGAGTAAGTATTTCAGGGACAACTGTGACAGTTATTTCGATGCCTTTAAAATGTATAAAAATATCAATTTTGTAGAAAACAATATATGTATATCTTTTGGGAAATTAATCCATATTAAATTTTTAACTAGAAAGGAAGCTAACTTCGGAACGCCGAAGTTTTTATACCCTTGCAGGTTGCAGTTTGATCACTAGGAATCAATACAATATAAATAAATAAATTATATAACTTTATGTAAAAAAACTTTGTTACAGTTTTACATTTACAGTTTTGCGTTTTACTCTATATCTAACGATCGTTTTTATGACAGCTATATGATATAGTATTCCGATTTTCATCAAATTTAAACCGTAATTCTAGAATAATATTAAATGACTCTCAAATTATATGAAAATCTGTTGAAAATTGGAAAAGTAACATTTTGTTTTTTAAAAACTTTCCAATCATTTGTATGGCAGATATATGATATAGTCGTTCGCTCCGTCCCGTTCCGACATATATAAGATTAAGTAATTATATAGAAGACTAACTCCAAATTTTCATTGAGATAGCTTCAAAACTGAGGGACTAGTTTGCATAGAAACGGACAGAAGGGCATGGCTAGATCGATCCGGCTGTTGATGCTGATGAAGTTCCTCCTGAGTTCTGACTGAAATTATAATACCCTGCAAGGGTATATATACCAATATTGTAGAAAACAATCTATGTATTTTAAGAAATTAATCAATATTAAATGTTAAAAGAAAGCTTTTCTTAGAGACCACCAGACACAAGATAATACCTCTTTAACCCACAAGAGACACATACTGGTATACAGCCAAAAACCATGATTTTCTCCATTCAATAAATTCACATTATTTAAATAATAATACCACTTGAGTAATGCTAGCTTTTTACTTAATAATTTTATTAAATAGTCCCCAAAATGTTGTTGTTTTTCTACATTGATTTAATAACGACTACGACTTCCCCAATATTGGTGTTGTTGGTTTACGTTGAGATTTTGACTATGCTGCTGATATCTTCAAGGGTTCGGTTCGTTTACTTGAGTTTAATTACATGCTCTAGATATTAGGTCTATTGGGTGTCTCTCTTGGTTATTGCCATCGCGTTTCATCCATTTTCTGGGGTTTACTTTTTACAAGCTCTGCCCTCATTTTGGCTCTTGTTGCTGTCTCTTCATGTTTTTTTTTGTTCTTTCTTTTTGTTTTCGTTTCAAAGGACGCCTTACAAGTAGAAAATTGTGGTTTTAGTTTTTAGTTGTCGTTAATACATAAATTATTACATTAAATATATTATCAATAGTTTAGTTTCATAGTGGTTGCTTTTGCCAGTGTACGCAGTCTCTCCAAATGCTTTTTTTTCACTGTGTGTGATTGTGTGTGAGTGTGTGTGCCTGTGTGGGTATGGTGTGTGGTGTGGGCTTGTGAGTGAGTGATTCTGGATGTGTCTTATAGTTCCGCCGATCTCTCAACTCATCCATTTCCCCATCGCATCCCATTTCCTCCGCGAACGCCTCCGCACTGAGCTCCCAAAAGTTGAACTAGAAATAGGCGACTCTATACAGCATCTCTCAGCTGGACGGTCCAGAACTGGAGTTGGCCAGGCTCCGTTGCAGGCGCAGCCATTCGACAAACTCATCTAGCATGACAGGCCCTAAAACGCAGAAGGTTAATATAAAGGTTAGCAATTAAAAATTAAGGACTATAATATTTAATGTCAATGAATTTTGATTTTTACGGTTGAATTATCGAACTTACATGCCCCATCAATATCATAATTTGACAAATCCATGCAGATGGTGCGCGAGAACTCCAAGATATTACACCACTGATCCTTGTTGATCACCTTGTACTTTGATTGCTCTAGAAACTGTGCAAACTGCGGATACAGCGGCCAGTGTTTGCCCAAAAGCAGCTGAAGCATGGCCTTGGCCGTGACAATATCCATACTTCGTTGATCCGAGTCCTGCAGAATAACAAAAACAATTACAATCTCCCCTCCTGCTTATATAATTTCAAATATTGACTTGCCTTGGCAAAATCGTAGGCGTATCTGTAGATACTCTTGAAGGAGTTTGGATCGTTGAGTATGCTGCGCAGATAGTCCAGTTTCACAACCATTTTCGCTGCAGAATCGCAGTCGATCTCGGTGAGGCCTTTCAGCCACTCCTGCTGGCTAAAGAAGCCCATTTGGGTGGCACCCATTTTATAGGCCAGCACCAGCATCACAATATTCTCGGGCTCCACACCGATATCTTCGCAAAATTTTTCCATCCCATCGGGACCTAGAAAAAATACAATAAATATATTATATGTGTTATATTTTTAGCTATACATTTCAACATATTCCAACTTACCCAATGTCTCTGGTTCATCTGGAGTGGTGTATTCCTGGAACCATGTTAAGCAACGTTTTTGGCTGAAGCCATCCTCCGCTCTGATATGGCGCCTGGGAAAGAGAAAAGCGCAAGGAATAGATTTGATTCAGTCAACCAGTGTTCAATGAATGATTCAATTAAGCTTATGTATCACACACTCTGCCATCTAATTGATAGGAAAATATTACTGCCCACGTATAGTAAACACCAGCAGACTTTTAATCGAATCTGTCGCTGCTAATGCCGTGTGGCCTGGCCTCTTTTTGTTTATTTTATTCGACTTGCCTCTTCTCTGGGGTTTTGTTTTTGAGTATTGGCCCCCTAAAAATAGCGATAGTAAACATGGCAGACCCCGAGCAGAGCAGAGCAGCGACGAGGCCAATGCCAAGAGCGGAGGCCCTCACTCGGGGAAGTGTAGCAAAATAATGCTAGCCCAGCGACAGTTATGACAATTCGAATTGGGAAGAACAAAGGCTATCGAACTGTGCTTAAATATATATGTATGCATCTGAGAGTAAATAATTTCATTTCGTAAGATCGCACACTAATTATTGATTGCAACATTCATAAAAACGTGCTTGAAGAGGGTTCCTTTTGGGGAGAAATGTTATCAGATAACAAATTTAAATGAATTACTTTAATTAAAACCTTTTAGAATTTAAAGCTCTCTTCATTTTCGATATGTATATTTATATTTGACGTGCACTTTTTTTTGCAGTGTACACACATTTATATAGCACACGCACATCTCCTCCAGTAGCGACTGCGCAGGGAAAAAGTGAGAGTGAAGTCCCATAGCAGGATAAGGGGAAGGCGGCTTGGCAGTGGATTGGGAGGGAGAAAGGTGGACTGGGTGTGGGTGTGGGGAGGACTTGGGGCAACAGCAAAGGAACAGTGTGATTTTATATGGGCCGCAGTTGTGCGCAGGACCCGAAACAGGAAACACGTCGTAGTTGCTTCGAGCGGAGAAGACTGCAGCAGCGTAAAATATTGCCATTCGAATTGTGTGCCCATTAAGTGCAAAGGATTTGCTAGAGAAGATGAACCTATCCGACTTCAAGCAATCGCTGATCACATTCCAAGGATTAGGCAAAGGCCTTAATGCCACGCTGTTCTACTCAGCCCTACTGGCTCTTCTGGGTGAGTAGAAGCGAGGGACGTGGGATTCGGATACGTATTCGTATGTAAGAGGTGGGAGTACCGAAAATCGATACTGTCGAGGACGGTTGCTGTGACACACTGACTGAAAAATGAGTAAACTCGACGACGCAATGCAACCTGTGAAGCCTGGTTAACCTTTGCTTTTTCAGCCACCACCGCCCACGGATTGCAGTTGGGCCCTTTGTCAACGAAGGCGCCGCGGGTCAGCAAGTACACAACCAAGTCGCCATCGGTAATCCCTAGCTAAGTCCTCTGTCTCCCAGTATGTCCTTAATATTCCCAATATTCCTGATTTTGTAGGCCGCGTCGATGAACCATGATGCCACCACCTCGCTGTACCGCTTCAATGCCACCAACGGTATCACCTGCATCCTGATGCAGGTGGATGGATTAATCAGCATCAGGTATCGCAACAAGCTGAACGAGGATGTGGAGGCCGATCTGTATATGCCCGATAATCCCCAGCTAAGCGGCGAGTGCGTGGAGTCCAATATGGAGATCCTAACCATGGACTTTAAGGGCTTCCGCCTGTCCATGACATTTAAAAAGGTGAGTGGGTTGGCGTAAATACCTTTAATTGGGCAGGTAAAACTCACTTCCCCATGTACAAAAAGTAAATATGATTGGGAAAAAATCAATATCGGGAGTATCCAAGCGTACACTGGACAACTCAAGCCCAACTTTTAAGGTTAAAGGTTGATTGTCATTGACTAATGCATGAACTTTCGCCCACACACAGTCGTCCGGCGGCGAAGGCTGGTACATAAATTTGTTTGAGCTATCCTACTCCTCCTCGAACGGGCTATTCGAACACCCCGATCGCCCCAATCTCGATGTCAAGCTCACCTCACCAGCCCAGACGCCCATGTACTTCCCCACGCCGGTGGGCAAGTCCTACTTGTGCGACAAGGAGCAAACTGTGATCATGTACGCCCCGCACGACTCCGGAGACCAGTCGGGGCATATAGCCAAATTATATCTGCGGGACATGCATATGCAGAGCTTCATGTTCAAGGACAGTGGCAAGTGGGGACCTTCCTTCCACTGCAGCGCCACCGGCTCCTATCGCGACGAGACGGCGCCCTTGGCTGTTGGAACTGCCCTGGCCATTGCCGTTCTGCTGACCATCTCGGGTTACGGCGGATGGAGGTGAGATAACGTTTCACGACAGACACACAGAATCTACAGAATCTGCATTCGTTTCAGGTACTTTAAGGTCAAGAAGGTCCAGTACGGCTCGATGGAGTGAGCACGGCTAAGCAACCAAGTGAAGCATTCGTTTTCGTTCAACTATTTGAGATCATATCGTTGTCTACACATATCCCCCACGTTTGTTGGATCTATTGCAATCCTTTGTAGTCCTATTTTAAAACTTTAAGAGTCAAAATTGAGGAGTTGTCCCGGCAGTTTTACGAAATTATCGAAAGCAACATAAAGATATACATATATGAGAAATGCAAATGTCTTCCATATTGTTAAAATGTATAAAATAATACCGCACCATATATGATTATTAAATGTTAATATATATATATATATATATATATATATATTATGATTAACCAACCACAACTATTATTTACCAAGGCAAACTCTTAATCTCTAAGCGAACGACCAAAGTTGGCCAAAATCGTATAGCTCCCTCCTCCAGTTTCAGCAATTTGTATCGAAAAGCATCTACATCTATAATGCTATACTTTTTAAAGAAATCTCCTGCACATTTTCTACTTCAAATTTATTATCTCTTAATCCATTTAAAGGTTTGCCAATTAAAATAATAAGAAATATGTATTTGGGGAATGAACAACGCATGAAAAACTAAAAATGCTTTTGTTTAGAATTAATATTAATGAGTTTTATTGAAAATAAATACTGGATGCCTGATGAAAAGCCCTTCAATTGTTTTGGTAAATATTTATTTTTAGTGTTGATCTTCTTATCAGCAAGGTAATAAAAATGTTCCTGATAATAAGAAGTGGGAGCCGTGACCAAAAAGTGTACATATTCGCTGATCAGTACCTCTCCTGTCTGATGAAAGTAAGTATAATATCCATATCTATGCAGACACGGTACATTTAACTATTTTTCGACCTAATAACGCATACTTGAGCCTAAGTTTTTCTTTATTATTATTAATTAATAAGTTAAATTGAAGGTCGGACGGAAAGTATCTGGTTACAAGAAAGGAACTATCTCCGGGAATGCGAAACTTATATACTCTTTTAGTTGGCAATTGAATTATAAATAGAATCTGAAATCGACCTAACAATATTCGGATTTTTTTAATAAGTATTTATCGAAAAAAAACTCATTACTACTACATGATTCCTTCACAACATTACAAGCTTATGACTAAAATTAAAATGCCCTGCAAAAGTATAGCAATGCAGTAATGTCCAGGAACAAACTGTATTTGTTTACAACTATACAGAATAGAAAAGTAATATAAGCCACCGTGTTTGTTTTCTATCATAACAATTGTACTTCAAAACTCATTAATAGTCTGGCCAAGTACATTTATAATTCTATATAATTTAAAAATGTAAAGATCTGAATCGTTTCTGTTATATTTTCCAGCTTAAGCTGAAAGCCTATTTATTTTTTAAAAGGAATGGGATGAGATTGAAGGCTTTAACTAAATTAAAGTAATTTTTGTCTAAAATAATAAACATAACCTAAACTGAACTGATTTCTATAGGCTATCATATAATGTTTATTAAAATAGAGATATGTTAAGACATTCCAAAACTCCCCGCAAGTGCGAAATCTAATTTAGGTATAAAACTGATTTCCTCTCGAGTAAATAATTATTAATAGATAAAAGCAATAATTTAAATGGGAACGAATTTTACAGACTTAATAGTTATAATGGCTATTCCTTCTATTATAAACCTTTTATCGAATAATTTAATAATACATTCTTATCTCGATGATTAGGCAAGTTTCTTTAAAGTATTTCGATGAATGGGCAATTTTAAGGCCTGAACATAGTTGCGTTATCTATTACTTTTCTCAAAATAAAAGTTGTTTAATATGCGCATGGCTTACTCAAAGAAATTTGTTAGAGAATGCTTAGTATTGTTTAGCTGCTACCCAATCTACCATTTAATTATTACTTATTTCATCACAATTAGGTGAAAAATCTATTTTCACCCGAGCCCATATCATATGTCAGCTGTATAGGAACTTGACGATCACTATTACATATTCATATTGACACCCTATTGGGGCAGTAGATGCTGGTTCCCGGAACAGGTGATACACTCCCAAGTCCCTTCTCAGCGTTCTGCACACTACTACTACTCACCTGCTGCTCTGTTGTGTCGGTATGCTGGCATAGCTGGTACGGGCTCTCTTCGATTGACCATCCATGTTGTCGCCAATATCTGCTGCTCGGCGTTTTCCTCGTGCATGACTTATTGTGATGTGAATCCCAGAGTGTTCGTCCCGTTCCGTCCGCCGAATGTGAGAATGCGCTGCGTTAATAAAACGTTTTGATTTCACATGAATGTAACGGAGGGGCATTTACGCACTTACCACTGTGTTTCCAATGGTACCAGCGTTCGCTACAGGCTTTAGTGTGTGGTTGACTGTTTTTGGGATGAGAAAAGGTTCCGGTTAATAGGGTTTAATCACTTGTTTCAATCGTCGTTTAGGGGAGTTTTTTTTCGGCTTTTTTGGTATGCCTAGGACCACCCCGAACTCGCGCAATGCAGCGAAGTAGATTCACGGGATGCACAGGACATCGGCGGATACATATATATTTGAATATATATATAGCGTATATACGATAATACGAGTCCACTACATATTCGTATGTTTGTGGGCTGCACGGGCGTTCTGCACCCTGTACAAATGTATGTATGTTAGCCCCCGAGTTGTTTTACAACTCCATTGCACGAAATACCGGCTGCTGCTGGATGGGACTCGGCTCCGGACTGCAGCCCACGGATGGCCAGGGATGGCTGATGCTGGTGTCGGTGCGGGAGTCCGTGATGTCGGCCCTCCGGTTGCCACTGCCAAAGTCAGCTGCTGATACGACGGACGACAAACGACCGACCAGACACCAGACAGCGACAGCCTGCCCTGCGCGTGCTCGCCTTTTTGCGTCGAACATCGCCACGCCGAAAGCCCTTATTTGGGGCTGCTTCACATCTCTACCGGCACTGAATCAATCTGTGACTCTGTGTCCTTGATTCAGGGGTCAACTATGCGGTTTAAGAGAATAAACGTTTAGAATATTACCATATTATTTAAACTCAATGTATAATTTCTTGGCGTCATTAGAGCTGCAAAAACGTCGATGTCACTATCGATACTATCGATGTTTTTTAAATGTCGATACACCGATGTTTTCAATCGATGTTGTCGATGAAATCGCTTGGAACACAACATCATCATGGCCGTTATGAGCCTTTCTTGCGAGTTTTTCGACGATTTTCCGCGACAAAACACACATTCCCAAATTTAACAGCCGTTTACCTCGTAAAGTATGGCACGCCAATATTCCGCACATGTGACCAGATGCCACATTAAGAAAAAAAAGCTGACTTAGCGTCAAAATGGAACAGTGGGAAAATGGAACATAAAGGGGATCTTCAATTTTTAATTTATTTCGTATAAAGGCACTAAATAGAATAAAATAAGGTTTATAAATGCTAAAAATGAATTTACTACTTTTTATATTAAAAAAAGCATGTGAAAAATCGTGTTTTCACGGATTTCTTAATATCATTTATAGTAGTTTTACCCTACCAGTTTCAATTTCTTCAAACCGTCAGTTTTTGAGCAAATCGTATAACAGTGATCTAACCTCGGGGTCGGTTCCATACAACATAGGGCATGCAAAATTGTAAGGTTTATTACTTCGATATACGAACGCGTGTACATATGCACGGTATATAGGCTTATTAGGGGGAAAATTAACGCATATTTAGTAAAATTTCAATGGTTTTTAACCCTCAGATTCGAGAAAATCGAATAACAGTGGGTGGTTATTTTTCTAAGGCGCGAACTATGAAATGGAACCATATGAGAACCAGCAGAGAACATCGCTGAACCAGAACTTTTACAAAAACCTTACACCCTTAAATGAACGCGTGCAAGCTGCACGGTATATCAAACGATAGGGAAAAAGATTCTAAAATTTCGAATTAAATCTCTATTAAATCTAACCCACAGATTTTTAGAAATTAGCGTTTTCTTTTTCTTTTGTTTACAAACACTGGCTTCATATCGATAGGCTCGCCTCCCACACCCTATCGATGAATAGCCCGCCAGAAAATATTCCTATTGACCATTTACACCATTGTATGAAATATGCATGCCCCATGAATGGAATTGACATTCCAAGCGTTTTGGTAGTTGTTTTATCAAAATCCGTTCAGTCGTTCATGAGAAACCCCCACTTTTGCATTTATTTTCATAAATGTTCCTACGAAGAATAAATACATCTGGCAGCACTGTCTGCATTAAATTAAGTCAATTTGATTTTAACTTTATTAAAAAACCTATGCAATCTGAAGTTCGTACCATTAACGGGATCGCAATTCTGAACATTTTGATCCACGTTTCGTCAAAATCCGTTTAGTCGTTCATAAGAAATCCCGACTTTTTCATTTATTTCAATTTTTTTGCCAGTGAAGAATAAATATATCCGCCAGCCCTGCCTGCCTAAAAACAAGAAAACTTGATTTAAACTTTATGGTTAAGCATATGCAAAAGGAAGATTGTCCCATAGACGGCATTGCAGTGCTGAACATTTTGATATATGTTTCATCAAAATCCGTTTAGTCTTTACTGAGAAATCCCAACTTTTTATTTATTGCAGTTGGGTACCAGGGTGCATAGTCATGCCTCCTTAGTATATAATTTAATAATTCAATGTTAATTTCTCCCAAACTACTGAACGGATTTCGATGAAACACCTACCATATTGCTTAGAATAACGCTATCATTTATTGGGCTTAATTCAAACTATTATTTCAATGCCTTAATTCTGAGCGGATTTCGATGAAACACCTACCATATTGCTTAGAATAACGCTATCATTTATTGGGCAGACTATTAAATCTTAATTCGAAAATTTGCTTCTCAAATCTAGTGCTTCAATGCCCTTGCCTTGTAATATGATTTCAGGTCAAAAATTTGCAACGCAGTGAATAAATTATTTCCGACCCTATAAAGTATATATATTCTTGATCAGCATCAACAGTCAAGTCTATCTAGCCATGTCCATCTGTCTGCAGTCACTTTTTTTAATGTTTTATTCAACAATTTGTCATTTTTATTTAATTTAGTATTTTCTTAACATGGTTCCATTGTTTGGTTCAACGAGTGGTTATCTGCTGGTTCCCATCTGATTCCATTTTCATAGTTCGCGCCTTAGCTATAAGCCCAAATACACCACCCACTGTTATTCGATTTTCTCGAAATCTGAGGGTTAAAAGCATTTGAAATTTTCACTAAATATGCGTTAATTTTTCCCCCTAATAAGCCTATATACCGTGCATATGTACACGCGTTCGTATATCGAAATAATAAGCCTTACAATTTTGGATGCCCTATGTTGTATGGAACCGACCGCGAGGTTAGATCACTGTTATACGATTTGCTCAAAACCCGACGGCTTGAAGAAATTGAAACTTAATAAGGTAAAATTGCGATAAATGCCTTTTATTTTGGCGCACCGGGTATTGCTGCACGCGTTTGATTAGCCGAGATATTAAAAAACCGTGAAAACCGTGATTTTTCACATGCTTTTTTTTTTGTAATATATCCAAATTTCAAATACTTTCAAACCCAGTAAAAAAAATAGTAAATTCATATTTTAGCATTAAAATTATAAACATTATTTTATTCGATTTGGTGCCTTAATTACGAAATAAATTAAAAATTGAAGATCCCCTTTATGTTCCATTTTCCCACCGTTCCATTTTGACGCTAACTCATCTACACTAATTTGACGGACATTGCACAATAAACATCTGATTGGGATTCATGTTTGGTCACACTAGCCGTCTTGCAGAAAAATCAATTGTGGCAATTGTAAACGATGTGAGACGAAATAGAAAATTACAAGACGTAAAAGATCCAACCATGCCCAGCTCATACTTGTTCGCCTCCAGCAGCGAGGGACGCGTCTACACGCTGTCCACCAGCTCTGGAGCGTGGCGCGAACTACCTTACCTGGGACTGGAGTTCAAGAAGATCTGTGCTGTGCCCAACTTCCTGTGGGCCATTGGCGGAGACCGCCAGGTGTACGTGCATGTCCATGGCCTAGACGTGCCCATCCGGATCAGGGAGGAGTCGTACGAGAATGAACGCTGGCTGCCCATAGAGGGATTCTCAAAGACACTGCTGCCCACAGATCGATACAGGTATTCATCGGTAGATGGCAGTGTGGAGCGCAGCGTAGACAAGATTCGGCTGCCATCGATGGCCTGGCAGTGGGACGGCGACTGGCACCTAGACCTGGAGCTGGATGGCCAGCAGCTTCCCGAGGATGGCTGGATGTACGCCTTGGACTTTCCCGCTTCCTATTCGGCTAAGAAATCATGGAATTCATATGTGCGGCGCCGCAAGTGGATCCGTTTCCGGCGCTATGCCGCTTTGAATAGCTGGTGTGCTGTGGCGCCACTGCACAAGGATCCCACACAGGAGCCCTTCATCGACGTTGCCATCGGTGGCACCAATGTTCCCAATGCGCCAGCCGGCACTTTGTGTGTCTGGGCCATCACCGCCCACGGCAGAGCCATGTTTCGCACCGGCGTATCCAAATCAGCACCCGAGGGCCTCCGGTGGACCGCAGTTCCCACTCCTACGGGCAGTGAGCTCTCACAGATAAGCGTAGGACCCACAGGCTTGGTGTGGGCGGTTCTATACAATGGACGGGTGATTGTGCGTACAGGAGTTACCCGGGATAATCTTTCGGGAGATGCTTGGTTGGATGTCAAGACCGGTGGCGTCCTGTAGCCTACGCATAATTCACGTTTCCGTCGGCACCGACGCCGTGTGGTGCGTTACCAACGACCATCATGCCTGGTTTAGGAGAGGCATTAAGGGCGAAGCTGCCGGTATAAGCGAAGACTCGGCAATTGGCAAGGGTTGGGTGGAAATGGTCGGCAACATATCCACGGTTTCAGTAGCAGCTAACGATCAGGTGAGTCCCTGCTCGGTTTAATACTCTGCGTCCAGCTGAGATTAATATTTATCACGTAGGTCTTTGCCGTTGGAGCCGCTGACCGGTGCCTGTACCATCGGTCTGGGGTGACCACTGCCGATCCCACCGGCAAAAAGTGGCGTTTAATTCAGTGCCCCATGCAGATCAGTCGCACTTCCAGCTCCCTATCGATTGTGTCACGTAAGAGCGGCGGCAGCAGCTCCACTCCCGGCTCCAAGCACCAGAGTTTCTCCAATCTATACTCCAAGGAGAAGGAGAAAGGCGTTGTGGAGACGTGCGCCGTGATAGAGACCGTGCTGCACAGCTCAACCGGCTCATGCGCCAGCCCTGGAGCAGCAACTGCAAACTTTCTCAAGCACGAACGTTATCGCCTTGGTGCGGATTCACCACCGACTATAGGAAGTCTCAACCTGAATGATCGTCACAAGCAGCGAACTGCTGCTCTCAGGGAAACCTCGCACGCATCCAGTGCCCCTGCCGCGGATGTGGTCGAGATCAGTGGAAAGTTTGAGACCCAGCTAAGGAATCCACGCGCCTGGTCGCCCGTGCGCAGTGTTGGTTCCGTTGTTGGAATGGAAGCCCATCCGGAGAGCGATTCGACGGTATTCGAATCGGACTCAACGCACCACGGATCAGATGTATTTCTGGGCGAAGATGACGACCACACGGGCTCCCAATTTTGGACGGAGTGTGGCATCCTATGGAGCTGCGTGGCTCCGGGTGCGGTGACCGTGGATGCAAGCAACATGCCCAATTGGTTCAATGAGCAGCTGACCAGCGATAGCAAAGTGGATGTGAATGCCAATTGGCGAAAGGATATTCTTAGCAAACTGCAGCGGCGGCAGGAAAGGCTCGCCAAGCTTCAGACTGTGGCCAAGTTTGAGAAGGCAGTAGAGCTCTCTTCTTGGGTAAAGTCAGCGGACGCCCGCTATCAGCGACCTGGCGGTGAATTCGAAGATTGCGTCATTGAATTAGAATGGGTTAGCAGCGGCAGTGGCGGCGATGCCTCCAAATCCGGGGACTCTGGAACGTTTACGGTGCTCAGCCCTGACGGAGCAGCTACGAAAATTCAATTTCCTTTGTCGGACATCACGTGCGTGCAGTCCTGCAGTGAAGCGGGAGCCCCCAGAATTGCCATCCATGCTCCTCATCTGCCGGTGAACTGCTCACCCGTTAAGCTGCAATTCTCCAGCGACTCGGAGATGGAGGATTGGCTATCTCATCTTTCATCCGTGTGTAGCCAAATTAACACCCTGGTTGGCAAGCCGGCCAGCAATGCCATCTGGCTGACCAGCGAGCTGGGCGATGTTTTTGTCTTTGATGCGGCCAATATGAAGGCCACACAGCAGACGACAGAGCCGGGTGAAGGGTATGTCGAGAAAATGGATGTGTCCACGTGCGAGACGCCCTACTACAACACACTCTACAATGGGTAAGTGTCGGCTTAACATACCTGAAGTAGGATTTGGTTAGTGTCTCTTGGCCTCGGCTTATGCTTCCTTCTTGGATAATAATGTATTTATGAATCCCTCATATTATTTTTGATTGCAATTTCTAAGTCTACAACGAATATGTTTGAATACTTAATTTAATAATAATCTTTCCCAATTAGAATGCCCTGTGGCACTGAACTGGAGATATCCGGCTGTGTCTATGACGATGCTGATCAGATTCGTTTCGATCTGCAGTCCCACTCCACCATTAAGGTGCATCCGCATCGCGTGGAGAAGCATCGTGTGATTGCCTTGCACCTGAACCCGCGCTTCAACGAACGCACCACAGTGCTGAATTCGATGAAGGAATCTGAGTGGCTGGATGAGATACGCAATGATAAAATGGCCTTTGCACCGGGAGCTACATTCTCGCTGAAAATAAGGTATGAAGGCAGCTCCTAATTCGGTAAACAAATATTTAGAGCAACGGGTTTGCTTTCCAGGGCTCTGAAGGATCACTACCTAATGATTGTGAACAATGCCGTGTACACCGATTATAAGTACCGTATAGATCCAGAGAGTGTAACGCGTTTGTATGTAAGCGGTCGCATCAAGCTCTTCAGCGTGCTATATCGCTGTCCCTCGCTAATCGTCTCCATGGAACGAATGCACTGGCGCCAGATGGGTGGCCACATTAAACGAGTCTTCAACAGCGGCGTAGACGTAGTTTGGGGTATTTCCTGTGACAACACCGCTTGGGTTTACAACGGCGGATGGGCGGCATGTTCTTGAAAGGGCTAGAGGGCTCCGGAAAGATTAATCCTATGATTGACACGCACACCTACTATGTGTACGAGAATCAGCGCTGGAATCCGATCAGCGGGTTCACCGCCAAGAGCCTGCCCACAGATCGGCACATGTGGAGCGATGCCAGTGGGCGGCAGAAGCGCAGCAAAGAGCACACAAAGCTTCTATCGACGCACTGTGAATGGATCTCAGATTGGGCGATCGATTACAACATTCCCGGAGGAGCGGATAAGGAGGGCTGGCAGTATGCCATTGACTTTCCAGCCAACTACCATGCCCACAAGAAGCTCACGGACTGCGTGCGTCGTCGTAGATGGATGAAGAGGTGTCGTCTGAGCAGCAGCGGTCCCTGGCAAGAACTGAGCCAGTCGAAGATACTCGATGCAGCCCTTCAG